CATCGTAGTGGGTATATTTAGATGTTGTCATACATTTGGTTTGTATGCCGCTTGTTTGTGGTCTGCCAATATGATATGAAAATTGAAATACAATATGATATTATCATATTGTATTTCTTGGCTGTTGTATTGAAGATGTGTGTTAGCACAGCCTCCTACAGTTACTGCCTCCTACAGTAACTGTAGGAGGCTGTGGTGTTAGTCTTTGGAGCCCGTCATCTGTCTGCCGATTAATTCGGCGTTGTCTGCATAACATAATATTTGGATTTCTTCGTTCCTCATTCTCTATTCATGACCTTTACGTACTGCTTTTATTATTTCGTCCATTATTATATTAAAGAGAAGTGGGCTTAACGGATCACTTTGTCTGACTCCTCTTGGTACTGGTATACACTGTGTTAGTTTTCCATTTATCTTTGCCTGTATTCAATTACGGAAGTAGATGTTTTCGATGGTTTGTATAATATTGATTGGTATGTTTCTTTTATTTTCTAAGATTTATGGAGCTTTCTTTGATATCCCTTGGACGTTCCTTCTTCTTCTTAAGGTGCCTTCTCCATACTAAAGGTTGGCTATAACTACAGCAAATTGCTCTCTATCTTGAGCTGTTCTTAGTATCGAATGTGTCTCCATAACTGTCCAGTATCTTACGTTCTTCAACCAGGAGCATTTTCTTCTTCCTGGACTTCTTCTTCTTTCCATTTTCCATTCCATTATAAGTCGTAGGAAGTTGTATTTTTCTCCTCTGTAAATATGTCCTAGAACTCATTTTTCTGTTTTTAACGATATTTAGGAGTTCTCTCTAAGTACCCATTCTTCTTAACACCTCGTTGTTGGTCACGTGCTTTGTCCAAGAGATCTTCAACATCTCAAAGGCTTCTATACGCCTCATACTTCTAATTCCGAGAGTCCATGTTTCCACTCCGTATAGCAATATGAAATAAATAAACGTTTTTACAAATTGGTATCGGATATCCAACGATAACATAGAGTTTATTAGGAATTTTTTCATTCGTTGAAATGCGGACCTAGCATATTCTATATGAGCACGTATTTCGACCTCGTGGTCAAGATCGTTTGTTATACAGCAACCAAGATACTGAAATCTTTGTACTGGTTCTATATGTTTGTTATAGATACGAATATTAATGTCGACATTTGGTGCATGTGTAACAGCCATTACTTTTGTTTTATTTGTGTTTATATTTAGTCCCAAGCTATCTCCCTCTGGTTATGACATTCAAAAGTCATTATAAACCCTCAGCACTGTCCGCAATAATGACGGTGTCGTCTGAGTAACCTTAAGTTGTTTACGCATTCTCCGTTGATTTTTATTCCTTCTTCACTATTTTCGAGAGCATTTTGAAAGATCTTTTTGGAATAAGTATATATTAAATAACAGTGGAGAAAGTACACAGCCCTGAAGAAACTCCTCTTTTATTGGCAATTCTGCCGTCAGACGATTGTCTATTTTGATAGACTCTATTTGATCCCAATATAGTTTTTTAATAAGTGCTACAGTGTTATGGTCTATACCATGTTGTATTAGGGTTTCTATGAGTTCTGTGTGTTTTACTCGATCAAACGCTTTTTCGTAGTTGATAAAACAGAGAAACACGTCTTTTCGCTGATCTCGGCATTTTTGTAGTAATATCTGGAGGCCAAATAATGCCTCTCTTCTACCAAGCCCCATACGAAATTAAAATTGATTGTCGCTCAGGTTTCTTTCGCATTCTCTGAATATTCGTTAATGTACAATTTTGAGTAACATTTTCAGAAAATGGTTCATCAGGCTAATTAATCTGAACTGTGAGCATCTATTTGCTTTCTTTTTCTTGGATATAGGTATAAATGTCGATCTAATCCATTCTTCTGGAAAGATTCCAGTGGTATATATTTTGTTAAATAATATTGTTAACGTCTGAAGATTTTCTTCATTGATAAGCTTTATCATATCTACTTATATTTCATTTGGACCTGAGGCTTTTCGTGGCTTTGCCGTATTGATTGTTTTTGTAACTTCCGATGTTAATATATCAAGTATTGTTTCTTGTACTATATTCATTTGTGGTTCTGTTCTCTCGTCATCAAACAGATCTTCGATGTATTTTTCCCACATATCTCCTACTTCTTCTGGACTAGATACTATTTCGTTGTTATCATCTACTAAAGTTGTTGGACGTTCCATGTCGCAAAAATCATTTTCCTGTTCCGCAGCATTTTTCGTCGTCGTATATCAATACGGTTCCGAGGCTGCATTTTGGAGTTTTTAACCTTTACCATTTTTGACGAGTATCGAGTGGTTAACCCGATGCCCCAACCCCCAACTTGGAGCTTTTCTTCTCCTAGATGCTTTGCTTTCACTGCAGCTTAAGAGTATCGTCTGCGCTTTTATACAGTAGGTGTAAGACGTCTTTGACTTGGATGCGATTGAAAGCTTTTTTAGATCTATAAAACAGATATGCTGGTTTATTGTACTCGATGGCCTTTTCTGTGATTTGTCTTAATACAAATACGGCGTCTACGTAGGACCTTCTGAATCTGAATCCTTGTTGTTCATTTGATAAAGTTTATTGATTTTGTTGGGTGCGGTGTTCAGTAGATTTATACCTCTATAATTGTTGGGGTCTTTTTTATCTCCTTTCTTGAACACTGGTATCATTATGCTATTTATCCATGCGTCTGGTATCTTGCGGTGCAATTAGTTTTTGTATAAGTTTTGTCATCTCTAGGGTTATAGTTTCACCCCCGTGTTTTAGTAGCTCTATGCTTTTTCTGTCTGGTCCTAGTGACTTTTTGTTTTTGTGTGTATTTATGGCTATCTCTACTTCCTGAAAATTGATTTCTATTTCGTGTCTTAATTCAGGTACGTTATTGTGTTGATTATTATTTTCGTTTCCTTTAAACAGTTCTATCAGGTATCTTTCCCATTCGTTTGCTGGTATGTTATTGTATTCCTTTAATTCTGCCATTTCTTTCCGTTGGTTTCTTGTGAATCTCCAATATTTGTTTTTGTGTACCGTAGAAGTCGCTTTTTGTAAACTGTTCCCAGTGTTAATTTTTTGTTCATCTAACCAACTGCTTTGTTTCATTTCGTATTCTTCTATAAGTCTCGGAATTCTGGAGTATTTAATGTTTTGTACTTCATGTAGGCCTTTTGTTTCTTCAGAAAATGCCTGTAGAAAATGTATAAAATAAAACTCATTTATCACTATTATAGTAAGTGTTTTCTTCTTAGAAACAGGGACATTTTTTATGATTTTTATAAGGTAGCCAACGTGTTAAAATTGATTTTAATGGGGAGAGGAATGAAGAAAGAAGAGGTCCTGAGAGAAAAGCGACATTAGTAGCTGTGAAATATACGATTTTGGTACGAACTTCGCAATGCAGGTGAAATTTTATATCTGCTGAAGAAAGAAAGTTATGAATGAATGACAGATACATGTGTACACGCTAGAAGCGTAGAAATTTTAAGAAAAAGACAGAAGAAATAATAAAGTATAAAAAATATGAATTACTGCCATACATTTTTGAATTTACGTCTATCAATAAAAAATATAATTACCTACAGTCAAAATTACTTCTAATAAAATGACCTTAAACCCTACTCACTTTACAAGTTAATAAATCTTTGATTAGATCAATATTGGCACAGAGCAGTAGCAAGACAAACAAAAACAAGTTAAAAGTCAATTAAGTGCCGTTGATTGATTTATTAATACATATTGCATATATTTTAAAGTTAATATTACAATGTAGAAACAGTTCAGTAAACGTAAAATATCTAAAGTTATTATTTTTGGGAATAAAAAAAGAATTTTGGATATTAGTTTAAATTTGGGAAATATTATAAAGGAATAGTTCTATGTGTCACAAAAAAAACAAAATCACTGTGTTATTTGTCAATCTTCTGGTAGTTTGTGATTACAATTTAAAATTTTTCTACACTAAAACAAAGATAATGTTCTGAAGCTATTTTCTTGTGGCATTGTAAATTAATTACTGTTAAACTGGGAATAAGCCACAATTAAAGATAAAAATACGTTTATTGACGTTTCAATTTCCACTTCGGATATCGTTCTCAAAATACAAACAGTAAATTAAACAAATTTTTTTTTTGTTACATAGTGAAAAATTCTTCTAATAATTTAATTTTATCTGACTCATTTATATTGACAATTCAGACATACATTATGCATTTTAAAGTAGACGACTTTAAAATGATATTGCCAATATTGTTGAGTTGCGCTCCTGGGACGACTTTACTTATAAGATAGTTCATTCGATTACATGAAATCAACTTTAACTTGAGAATATCCGTCAGAAAAAATCATAGCATGTAATTCGTCTTTAAAAAGACAAACACATGACATGATGACAGTAAAATTCACATCGAAACTGAACTCACTAACATTGCGAAGGTTTATTAAATGAGCGTTACTTGTCTTCCCTCTTTCCTTGTTTAAGGCCACTACCCTTCACAATTTTAACCTCCTTTATATTACCACTAAGTTATGCACCACATGGTACAGTTAGTATATTTGAAACTGCTCTAAAAATTGTGAAGATTTTTTTAGAAATGCTTATCTTAACTAAAGACGTGACTCAGAAACTTTTTTAAAATCTCAAAATTGGCAATTTGAAGTACATAATCTGTGTGGTCTTCACAGGTTATAAAATTCACAGATTATTTTTCATGAAGTACATAATCAACAATAAATAATTAATAATTAAATAGGTAAAGAAATAATAAATAAGACTTACAATCAATTATTTGATTAATATTGATATAAAGTGATTGTGAGTAAGTCTTATTTATTATTTCTTTACCTATTTGAAATGGACTCACACAAGCAACACATTCATGATTTTAATTAATAATTAATTTATGATTAATAAACAAATCAACAATGTTTGAATAATATTTATTTTCATTCATTATACTTTATTTTAAAAAAATAATATAATTACACAAATCACATAAATCATCTTTGTTGCAGAAATAGATATGGTAACAGGGAAATGCTAGTAGAAGACGATTATTGTGAAAAACAAATGAATGATTTAGAACATTTTTCAGTAAGTAAAATTTTGTATATAGATCATAATCATATATCATCATTATCATATATCGTCATCATCATATACCAGTGCAGAAAGGGCTACCCTGATCTCTTTGCTCTCTTCTGATCTTGTTTACCAGCTTCTTCTATTCATTCCTCTGTTTCACTATCTTATCTTATCTTATCTTATCTTTATGCTTCGTTTCATGTTATTCTCTTTTAGTTCTTTTTAGTTTTTTTTCTTCTAGTTAATTTTCTAGTGTTTGTTTCATGTGTATGTTTTTCCTTTTCTTCTTTTTCTTGGACTTTTGTAATGCAAGCCTTTTAAGCAATTCTTGATGATAAACTTCTTAATGTATGACTAATCCATAACCATTTAAGGTTTCTAATTGTAATTTCTAATTTTTCATTATTAGTTAACCTATATAGTTCTTTATTTACGATTATATTTCACCCTATAAAGCGTAAATTTCTTTCGTTTATTAAAATTATCGACAACCAGACCTTCCACAGTAAGCAAAGATAATTTTACACAAACCCTATTCTCATTTGTATGTTGTTCGTTGTGTTTTGTGTAGTTCAATTCAGAAATTTTGTTCTAAATAAGTAGTAAGGCATATATCATCAGCAAACTCACACCAACACTTTTTATAACAAAGACTGTTATAAATAATGTTGGTGTAAGCATATATCCTTGCGTCACTTCTTTTTTAATATATGTTTATTGTGACAGTTTGCTGTTATACTTTTTCGATGTACTCATTGTAGAAAAATCGTAATCATCTTTATACAATTATCTCATAATCCATATTGTTTTAATATAACCCACATTATATTTCGGTTAATTGTATTAAACGCTTCTTTACGCCACTATTTTGGAGACAATTTCAAACTGTTTGCACTGAATTTTAAAAAAACTTTAATAGTCGCCGATTTCCCATAATAGTTCAGTCGTTCAGTCGTTCAGATCAACAAACTAAATTTTACTGAGAATGTCAAGTTTGGGACCACAGAAAGGCTTTAGACTAGAATCCTCCTGCATAGACCACATTAATACTGTGAGGGTAATAATGGAACAATCGGTTAAATGGAACACACCCCTATATATGGTTTTTGTTGATTTTGAACGTGCCTTTGATAGCTTGTCTCACGCTGCTGTATGGAAAATTTTAGAGCTAAGAAACATTCCGCAAAAAATAATTTCTATTATAAAGTCACTATATACTGATATGAAATGCAGCGTGACACACAATGGGATCAACAGTTACGAATTCGACGTACCTACTGGAGTTAGACAGGGATGCGTGCTTTATGCGTTTCTTTTTAACATAGGTATAGACTATGTTCTCTCCAAACTAGACTCCGACACAAGAGGGATACACTGGACGTTAACCACACGCCTAAGCAATCTAGTATACGCGGACGATATCTACCTATTAGGTCAAAGATTCCAAGATCTGGCTTACCAATTGGAAACACTTTCCACTGAAGCCAATGAAATGGGTTTAAAAAACAATATTACTAAAACCAAGTCTATGAGAATAAATGCAAGGAACAACACGCTATTTACTATCGACAATATGCAGATTGAAAATGTGGAAAACTTTACGTATCTTGGAAGTGTCATAACAGAAAACGGAGGTACAGAAGACGATATTCGTATGAGGATACGAAAAGCCCAACAAGCTTTCAGCACGCTCAACCCTGTCTTCAGGTCTGGCGAGTATATTACAAGGACAAAGATCCGAATATTCCGATCAAATGTCATGTCTGTCCTACTCTACGGATGTGAAACCTGCAAAGTGACAAACACCCTCACAGACAAACTGCAGGTCTTTGTTAACAAATGTCTACGAAGAATTGTTCGTATATTCTGGCTTAACACCATCAGAAACGAAGATGACCGAACCTGACCGAACAAAAGAGGGTACAAAATGAAATTAAGTCCAGAAAGTGGGGTTGGATCGGTCACACACTCCGAAAAAATAGTTCCAGTTTCGCAAAGACTGCCCTAGAGTGGAATCCCCAAGGGAAAAGAAAAAGTGGTCGCCCAGACAAACTTAGAGAAGATCCATCATGGACGAGATAAGAGGCCAAGGAAAGTCTTGTAATGAGGTGAAGGCCTTAGCATAAAATAGAACCCGATGGCGCGTTTTCACTGAAGCTCTATGCTCCACTTAAGAGTTCAAGAACCTTTCAAACTGAATTTAAAAAAAAAACTTTAATGAGTCGTCGATTTCCCATAATAGTTCAGTCGTCCAGTGGTTCAGACTAACAAGCTAAATTTTACTGAGAATGTCAAGTTTGGGACCACAAAAAAGATTTGTCATTCCTACCTCCGGGGTTTCCCCTAAAATCCTCTCGGTAGAGGGGAAACAACATAAAACATCGATTTCTCAAGAATCCGTAGAAATGTAGCTGACTTAATTTTGAACAAAAATGTCTCTTAGCACTTTTTGTGTGGAATGAACCGTTCTCTCAGAAACAACGCTTGAAGCGAACGGCGATTTTGAATGTCAGTTACGCGAACAAAATCAGTTTTATAAATAAAATGTGTATCGATAACATACAATCAATCAATCAATTAATGTATCAATTTTTTAGTTCGATGGTAAAAATTTGATATCTTTTAAAAAAGACTGTCATATCGACTAAAACCATAATGCGTTTTAAATGAGAAGAGTGCAGATTGCGTCATCAATTGAAGTCAGTTTCTCTAAATTTGTATAAATAAAAGTTAAGAGTTTTTTGCCATTTTTTTTTAATTATAAACAATTTTTTCTTTATAATATATATTTTTTCTGTTTTACTCGAGTTAATACATCTGACTATAATAAATTGTAACACCCTAACGTAATTTTTAGGGGTAAACATGTCTTACAATCTGGGTTTAATTAAATTGCTTGCTTGCTTCAGGAAGTCAGTCCCTCACAGGCTCTCGAGTCACCTGCACTCTAGGGGCTCTGCTCCTTCTTAAACTTCCAGAGTCTGCGGCTGATTTATCATTTCAACTACATATTGGTGTTTTATTTTATCATGTAAGGAACAGCTTGTATTTTCAAGGCAAGCTACACCAAATACATCATTTATCCATAGCCCAAATGGACTTAGCAGAAGATTATTCACTTGTAACGCTCGCTCGAAGCCCTCTGCAGAGCATGCGAGGACACAAAGGCGGTTAGTCCTCTTTCTCCGACGAGACCAAATTTCCTTTTTTTAAGTATCCTGAATATGTATTTTAAAATAAGATATATTGTAAAAAAACAAGTCAACATTTTAGAATTTCTCGACAGAATCTCACAGAAATCTAGGAGCATACTAGGTAGGTAACACAAAGGCTTTCAAATGAGGTCTTATATGCCAAATAGTTTGGAAGGGGTAACCTTCAGTCACGCACTGTAAATGCCAATGGCTGAGGGTTTGTGACAGAATTTCTTACTATCCCGTGCATGCTGCTGCGTGCTGCTGCCATTCCTCTCAGGTCTTCATAACCATTTATTTCTTGATTATCCTTTTCTTCATTAACCTCCATTACCTCCTATTAGTACTCTCTCAACCTATGTATTACCTTACTACTTTTTACATTGTCCACTCATTATTTTATGTCTATCAAAACTGTATATTTTCATGTTTTTAAGAGCTCCTTAACAACCTGATTTCAACGAACTATATCATGTAGGGTATATTATGAATAATATAAGGTGAAATTTTGAAATTAGGTATTTTCTTCAAGACAATGAATTCATAGAATATCCGAGGTAATTGATTGGATTACATTAAAATAAATGCTCAACATTGTCTCCACCTTGTTGTTGGCAATAACACAGTCTCCTATAAAACTCGTTCCGAACTTTGTTTAAAGTTTGAGGTGAAATATTCCGTATTTATGTAGTTATCCTTACTTTTTGAGGTCTTCAATGATAGTTGATTGTGTTGCATATACTTTGTTCTTGAGATAACCTCACAAAAAAATCCAAAGGCGTAAGATCTGACGACCTAGCTGGCCGCTCACTAGTCCTCTTCATCAAATCCATTTATTGAAGAAGATTTCATTCAAGTAATTTCTCACCATTAAAGCATAATGGGGTGTTGCACCGTCCTGCTGGAACCAGTCAGTTTCATGCGGTAGGGTCAGATCTATTGAATTGGAATATAAGTTAGCCAACTAAGGAAGAACATCGTCCCTTAGCATGCTTAAATATTTTTCCGCTGTCAAATTATCATCTTTAATATAGGACCAATAATATGATCTCCTATAATACCTGCCCAAACATTCAACTTTTGAGGATACTGAGTGTGGGTCTCTTCACTGTGTGAAGTTCGATTTTCTTTTTAATGGTTTAGCATATCTAAGTTCTCTGAATTGTGCATAAATTTTAGACACAGTACCTTGTGAAATATTAGGCCACTGAGGATTCCTCTGATTAAATAAGTTTACTACTTCAACTTGACTTCTACAATTCTCCCCGTAACCGATCATCATTAAAATCTCAATTCGGTGGGCCTTAGTTAAATATTTCATTTTTATTTCTGCAAGAAATTAGTTTTTAATTAAGAATTTATTATTGTAATGTCAAATGTCAACAGCATGTCAACTGATTGATAACAATCCGCATTATCTATACAGTTTTTACCTATTCACGACAAAAAATGTTAACACGGTTACTAAACAGAAATTTTCCCAATATACAGTGTACTGACACTTAGAGTAGAAGTCTATTGTCTGTATTTAGCTAATTTAAAATAATATCATAACACGTGATAAATTATTAATTTCAAAATTTCACCTTGTATTATGTATTAAAGACCCTACATGATAGAGTTCATTGAAATCAGGTTGTTAAAAGTATTTTAAAAACATAAAAATATACAGGGTGTTTCATTAAAAATAAGGATTATGGACTATGCCAGATGTGCGTGGATCACCCTGTACATTTAAACTTATGTTTAAAAAGCGCACATTTAAATTTAAAAGTTAACGTGTCCCAGAGTTTTTGATTATTTTCTATAATAAGGACACAAACAATTTTATTTCATAAGTGGTTTCCACACTGTATAATATCACTATTCAGAACAATCACCGTTTAATACATTTTTATGATCATGTCCCGTATACACATTTACTAATACAAATATAATTTTTTTTCAGATCTAACCATGTTTTCTAATACACTAACATTTATAATTCCTACCTGCAACCAAAGAGATTACAGTTATAATTATGAAAAAAACGAGAAAAGAGTTTACTGAACTGCATCTAGAGATAAGCCCACGATCGACCCACCATCAACCATCATTAGCATGGAATGGATGGAAAACGGTTTATTTATTATTTATAGATTGTGATATATCTTTACATTCACTCATGTTTAGTATATTATTTTGTAAATAGTTCTAACAATACGCCGGTAAAGACTAGATATATTTTTAATCTTTTGTAGTGTTTAGAAAATTGTGTTTTTACTGGGTGACATATCGATAAGTTGAAATCAAATTGTCATATCTAAAAAAATCAAAATTGAGTTAAAGTTTTAGTATAAAAAAATTCCAGCATTGTAGTTGTATTAATGCTAAACTTGGTATTTAGAATAAGATTACAACTGTCCGATATCAAACCAAATGTAGAAGAACTTGGTTCAAACAAGACACAGCTTCAATACTCTCATTATTGTTGAGAGTTTTATAAAGCCTTATGATTTTGAATTTATTAGTAGCATCATACAACAAAAACACAATATTCTTCTACTAATTTGATATAGCTTCCTATAGAGATAATATATTTTGAACTTTAGAATTTTCACAGTAATATTTGATAACAAGGTGGTAAATAATATGTTCAAAGTCATACATTATCATCATTATCATCAGCAGTCCATAGTCGTCCACTGCTGAACATAGGCCTCCTCGGAAAACCTTAATTCAGACCAATCTTACGCTGCTGCAATCCAGTTGCTCCTCTTTATGTCGTCAGTCCATCTTGTGGGTGGTCTTCCGGGGTTTCGTCTATCCGCTCTCGGTCTCCACTCCAAGATTTTTTTGGTCCACCTATTATCCTTCATTCTAGCGACGTGTCCTGCCCATCTTCATTTAATTTTGGCTATGTGTTTTATAATGTCTTCTACACCACTTTTTCTACGGATTTCTTCGTTTCTTACCCTATCTCGCAACGTTATGCCTAACAATGATGTTTCCATTCCACGTTGCGTCACTTGTAGTTTTCGTGCAGATGTCCTTGTTAGGGTAAGTGTCTCTGCGCCATATGTAAGGACAGACAGGACACACTGATTAAAGGCTCTTCTTTATAAGTTGATTGGTATATCACCTTTAAAAATATCACGCATTCTTCCATATGCTGCCCATCCCAGTGTTATTCTTCGTAGCAGCTCAGCAGTTTGATTATCTCTGCTAATTTTTACCGTATGTCCAAGGTATATATATAGCTGTCAACAATTTCAATTTCGACGTTTTCTTCCCTTAGGTAAAGGATGGCTCGGAACTAAATTTGTCATCATTTTTGTCTTTTGGTAGTTAATATTTAGACCTACTTTACGTGCTACGTCGCTGAGTTTATTCAACATATCACTGGCAGACTTTAGATCATCCAAAACCAGAACAATATCATCTGCGAATCGTTGTTGACTAAGCATCTCACCATCAATATTTATTTCTTTACTTTCCCATTCCAGTGACTTCAAAGCATGTTCAAGTATAGTAATGAACAACTTAGGCAACTTAGGCGACATAGTATCTCCCTGTCGAATACCTCTCCTGATATGTATCTTATTGGTAGGACTGTGCAGATTTATAGTTTGTTGTTGTAACATTTCTGTGTATATTTTCCATAATATTGGTGTATCAAATAATACTTTCTCCTGTAAAGTGATACAGAAGAAGATTAAATCGATTTTAATAATGAATAACACAAATTAATGGTTTAGAGACAGATTTTAATCTTTTACTGTGAGTGAACTAGACGCGTAATACCACATTTTATCTTCGCATTGCAAGACTGCAGGGCTGAGCTAATTAATTCCTTCGATATAAGAATTTCAGCAATAAATATTTCACTGGTTTCACCCTTTTCCCGTCGCACATTTATGGGTAAAAGGGGAAAAGAATATGGCTTTATGAGAATGATTTGACTGAAGTTATTTAGAGATTCTACTAAAATTCCAACAATTATAATCAAATTGAAATTATTTTTTATAGACAATTTTAGAAAAGCCCTTAAAAAATATATAAAGCATGTATTAATGACAACTCTTTAGTGTTGGGTAGCTTTAGCCAATAGGTATTTCGAAAGAGAGTGATATTTACTTAGTACTAAATAAGTAAATTTTTGTTCCTTCCCTTATGAAAATGATTGTCAAATAAATATATATTATCTCTAAAATAATATAATTACTATATTTCTACGTAATTGTAAATTGTAAATATCTAATTATATTTTTTTATGTAGAATTCATTCTATATGAGACTATTAGTCATAATAATTAAAAAAGAAATATTGTAAATTTAATTCGACTTGCCATATAAAATAAGAAGTTTTTAGATTGTAGAATGTAAGTAATTTTAAGTTCTTTTAAATTGATGAATGAGTAAATGTGAATGATTGTAATATAATTTGTTAATTTTATATTGTTGTTTTATTTTATTATATTATATAATTTAAGTAGCTGTGCTGATTTTACCTAAACGAGAATGTGGCCTGTTTTGCGGGAAGCAAAGTAATCGATGTACACTGTAAACTATTTTAATGGTATTAACAAGAAATTACATACTACAACAAGTAAGAAAACAATGTCGCTTAGCAGGTTGGCATATGCATGTTCTTACTGCACCTATTGGGCCGCTGGAATGTATGTTGGTTTGAGTCGATCCATGGAAATTTGTTGAGGAACATTTTGTAGATCTACTGTGATAAACTTTTCACTACATTCCAAAACTCGAAACGGACCGGTATAGGGTGGTGTAAGTGGATGCTTTACTTTATCGGTCCGAATCAACACATGAGTCGTGGTTTGCAGATCCGCTTGGACAAAGGCAGTGCGGGCTGAGTGGTTGCTTGTCGGTACAGGCCGCAATGTTCCCATGGTCTCACGTAGTCGTTAGACAAAACTATGTTCGTCTGGTGCAGCAGCACTAGGGAGAAGCAGCTGTCCAGGGAGGCACACTGGCTTACCATATCGGAGGCTATACAAGATATGTCCTGCTTGAAAGCGTTTCGAAGTCTAAGCATGACCAAAAGGAGGGCTTCAACCCACGATACTGTAACAGTGGCGGTAAGAGCAGCTTTGAGTATTCGTTGAAAACGTATAATACACGCGTTTGACTGTGGGTGGTATGCAGTGGTCTTAATATGATTGTATTGTATTGAGCTGACGAACCAACTGGCTTACAAGTTGTCTACCTCTGTCTGTAGTTATGGTCGCTAACACACCAAACCGGGATATCCACCCCTCGAAAAGCTTCTGTGCGACTACTTCGGTTGTAATCTGTGGGATAGGTATGGCTTCTGGCCATCTCGTGAAACGGTCGACGATTGTAAGCAGATATCGAAAGCTTTGATTTGTTGGAAGTGGGCCCACGATGTCGATATGTATGTGTGCGAATCAATCGTCAGGCATTCCTAGAGGTTTCACAGGTGTACCAGTGTGACGTCCAATTTTGGCACGCTGACATTGGATGCACTCTCGTGACTCGTGACCATTGCTTGACTTGGCGATTCATGTTATGTCACACAAATCGTTCGGCAACCATTCATAATGTAGCAGCGTGCCCTGGGTGGGACTACGTGTGTCATTTCAAGACATCTCTTTGGAATACAACTGGCTCTTAAACTCGTACACGACCATCTTGGACTGAACAAAAAATGGGTCGCTGACTGTCTGGTAGAAGTATGCGTTGTAACTATGTAAGGAGCTGGCAGAATCTTTCAAGGACTATTAGAGACCCTCATCTGTTGTCTGATCTTCGAATGGTAATGGGTGCTGTAAGCGTCTACTTCAGGTCGTGAGAGACAATCAGCAACGATATTTTCTGCACCCTGAATGTGTCGAATATCGGTCAGGAATTTGGCCAATAAATTCTAGTTGACGTATCTGTCGTGGAGACGCACTCATGTGGCTGTTGGAAGGCAAACTCTAAAAGCTTGTGATCAACATGACCATAAAACGTCGTAGCTGTCGACGTAGGTTAAGGAAACTTGCGAATCGCACTAACTTTAGCCGGCAATGGAAGAATATTAGTTGTTGATTTGGAGTCCATTTGTTTCCAGAATCCGAAGTACAGAGTATTAGGTGTTGCTCCTGCTCGGTCTTAGTTTCCGAGGCAACCAAAATATCGTCAATGTATACGTAAACATAGGAGCATTCTCGAAAAAGGTGGTCGAGAAATCTCTGGAACGTCTGGGGAGCATTTCGCAAACCAAACGGCATTCGTACAGACCAAATTGAGTTATTACAGTCGTCTTTTGTACATCCTTAGTGTGGGCTAAGATTTGGTAAAAAGCAGGTATCAAATCAATACATAAGAAAATTTTCTAACCATGTAGCTGGTTAGCAAAATCCTGGATGTGCGGTGTTGGATAGTGATCCGATTTTGTCATGGCATTTAGACGGTGAAAATCTCCACAGGCACGCCATGATCCATTAGACTTTTGAACCATGTGAAACGGGCTTGCCCAAGATGACTTTGATGGTCGGATAATGACTGCCTCCATCAGCTCGTTGAATTCTGCTCGTGCAGCTTGAGGATGGTCTGGTGGGAGTCTTCGTGGTTTAGAGAAAACTGATGTACCTCGAGTCTCAATATAGACTCAGATTGAGAGACTTGCTAATCTTTTGTTTCTCATGTCTACATTAATGCCGCGGTAGGACAAAAAATCGGCTCCTAGTATGGATGTGATCACATCTTTGACAACAAATATCCATGTTACTGGTTGGTCTAGACCAGGGACTAGTGTAAGCAGTTTCTGTCCATACGTTTGGATGCAAGATCCGGTGGCAGAATATAGGCGTACAATGCTGTACTGCGTCGGAGTGCAGATTTTATGTGGAAGCACACTTAGGTATGCTCCTGTATCGATAAAAAACTGAAGTTGGAGAGTACCATCGGTAATGAAGAGGCGAAGTGGTATGTGAGGGACTGCCGTTGCCGCTATTACTGCGCCCTTTGGTCGTTTTTTGTAAACTTGCAGGTTGGTCTACATTTCTTTGCTTGCGCTCTAAATCTTCGATGGATGGTAGTAACACTGCTCGTCAGATGATAACGTGGTGCTCTTGACCATTTGAAGCTGTTGCCCTTCTTCAGATACAGTTATTCTTTTGGATAAAGCATTAATTTGGTCACTCAATGCAGCCACTGCTTTGTCTAAGGTGAGGTTTTCGGTAACAGCGATGACTGGCAAACTAGAACACGGGATATACTTATCGCCTTTCTTAGCAAGTTCTTCTAGGTCTCCATTGAGAATAGATATAACACTTCGAACTGAAGGTGGTAGGCAATCCAACCAAATATTCTTAAGAACGTGTGTACTAATGCTATCCATGGCCAGAGCTTGCATTCGATGAAGTAGTTAAGTGGGTTTTAAGTCACCCAAAGTGAGTTCCATTAACCTGTGGATATTTTCATCTTGGCTAATGCCATATCTTTCGAGAAGCCGGGCTTTTATTAATTGTTCGTAGGCATTGCCGTTAGTTGAGTTTCTATGTTTGCTATTTCTAATAATATATCATTTATTTAAGCTAGCTACTATGTCGTCAAACTTACAGCTATCTGAAGTGATATTTGCTTGTCGAAATTAAGCTTCTAGTCAGAGAAACCATAGCTCTTGCTGGGCATGCCAGAATTCTGGTGCTTTGATGCCTACTCTTGTAATTACAGTCTGTTCATCATTTTCACTATTCCTAATGGTGTGACTTAGTGCTGAATCCGTCATTATGTCGTCGTTGGTGTGTATGGCCAATGGGGCCATTGGAAAAGAACTTTCATGAACTTTTTAGCTACTCAGGTTGTCACTTCCGCTGTTTCTGTTGATACTGAACCACCCCTAGACACAAATAATATTAATCTAAAACTGTTAATAAATTATTCACCAAGAGTGTATTCCTAATAAGTGATTGTATACAATGAATCCATTCAAACCATTGATACAATATACATCAAGCCAAATAATATTATTCATGCCCGTCACATGCCCACTAAGACGATAACCACTAGACGATAACAGACAGATAATATTATCGATGATTACATCGAATCTTTAAAACAATTAGCAAAAGACTGCAATGGTACTGCTGTAGATGCTGAAACTAACAAAAACAATACGAGCCGATACCCCAGATTTGGGCAGCCTTAGCTACCCTTATAAGCTTCCATTCTTTTAACATATACCCCAGTTTTAAGCTAGCCTGTAGGAACAAATACAATTTTTGCAAATAATATAATTTCTCTTTTGTAGATGTATTGGAAAAATTCTTTCATGGTAATTTATATGGCTTAAATAAGTTAAGCCGTCTTTTGGCCTTCTTTTACCACTCGACTCCAGTGTACTGCCATGTGTCTAATGGTATCAGTTTTGTTTCAGACTCAGAAAAGTGCACCCTGAAATGTTATTTCAAGGTCTCTTCATCATTCTGAGTTTATGACATCACTTCTTTTGAAGTGAGGATATACTTATCTAAGGGTCCTTTCAAAGAAATTTATGGAGCCTTGGAGATTTCTGTATTCTGTTCTCTCTACGCAATGCTTTTCCCATGATTATATTTTTGTCCTTATGTTCCTTATTATATCTAGTCATAGCTTCAGCATCTTCTTCGATTTCGCCACACTCACCTGATCTTTTGGTGAACTTAAATTTTCCTTTAAGAAGAGCGTGTCGGATATTCCATAAAGTACGTTAGATAGGTAAAGGGTTTTTTATCTTCTTCTTCCTTCTCTTTATAAGCAATTCTGCTTGTTCATTGGCGGATTAATATCTCTATGAAAGGTTGTCACTCCATCTTTTGCGCGGTCGTGAGATACTTCTTCTGTCGATTGGTGACTTATCTCTTGCTATTTTGACGACACGGGTCTCCTCCATTCTGCTTATGTGGTTACTCCATTCTTTTTTTCTATTTTGTGTACATTCATTTATACACTGTACGTTACATTTTCTTCTGTCTTCACTTCTCTTTCGACCTCTCAGCGTATTTCCTGTAATTCTTCTCAGTACTCTCATCTCTGCAGTTTTTAGTAGCATTTGCATTGTGGCTGTGTCAGGTCTTGTTTCTGAAGTATATGTCATTATTGATCTTACACTGGCTTTATAAATTCTTGACTTCATCTCAGTGTTAATGTGTCTGTTTCGCCATATAGTTTTATTTAGGCATCCTGTCTATCTATTTGCTTTTTGTACTTGATATCTCACTTCTTTGTCTAGGTCTTCACAGCTAGACAGTGTAATTCCCAGGCATTTTATTTCCATTACTTGTTCAATACTGATCATCAATTTCTATTTTACATCTGGTTGGTGCTTTGTTGACTACTTTTGTTTTAATTTTTTGGGATGAAATTTTCATATTAAATTATTTTGCTCTTATGTTAAATCTGTGGACCTTTGCAGACTATTTTCATCTTGAGCTATCAATATTGCGTCGTCTACGTAACAGAGTATTTTTATTTCTTTGGTTCCCATTCTGTATACTCTTCCTTTGTTAACGCTTTTGATGATTTCATCCATGATAAAATTGAAGAGCATGGGGCTCAATAAATCCCCTTGTCTTATTCCGCTGCCTATTTCTATAGCTTCTGTAAGTTGTCCATCTATTCTGACTTCCATTTTGTTGTTTTGGTAGATGTTTTAGATAGTTTTTATAATATTTAGGGGAACTTCTTTATTATACAGAAGATCGATTACATCTCCGAGTCTTACTCTGTCAAACGCTTTCTTTAGGTAAATCAGACAAAGAAATGCTGGTCTATTATACGCTAGTAATTTGCTTTATAACAAATATTGCATCTGTACACAATCTTCCACTACGAAAACCCTGTTGTTCATCTGATAAACTTATTCTCTGAATTATCATCACTTGTAAAATTTAAGTTGTAAGTTTTAGCGTAGTATTTAATAATTTTATACCTCTGTAGTTTTCCGGCTGTTTTTTAGCTCCTTTTTTGAATAGTAGAATCAGTTCGCTCGTTCTCCATTCTTCCGGTATTATATTGTGTTTTATAATTTTATTCATTAATGTTTTTAATTGTTCTGTCATTGCTGCTCCTTAATATTTCAGTAATTCGTTTGGTATCCCGTCTTTACCTGCTGCTTTTCTGTTCTTCATGTTTACAAGTATCTTCCGAACTTCCTGTACATTTATATTAAGTTCTTCATTTGTGGTAATTTCTGGTGTTTTTAGTTCTAGCGCCATTTGTTGTTTCTCTGCATAGAGCTTTTTTGGGTAGTCAATCTAGGAGTTCTTTTTTTGTGTTTTGGTTGTATTAGTTCCTTTACCTCCGTTCTTTGACCTCTTATTAAGCGCCATATTTCCTTTTGCAGACCGTAAAAATCATGTTCCATTTCTTTCGAAAAGCGCATGTGGTTTGTTGCTAATTGTCTTGTATGGTATGCCTCTTGTGTTTTGGTTGACATGTATTTGAGGTAAGTTTTTCTCCTTTTTTTTACATTTTTCCTTCACATCTGTACAGAACTGTAATTGGGAAAGATTTATTTTTATTTATATTTCATCTAAGAAGAACGTGTAGGAAATTCCATAAAGTAAGTAAGATAGATAAAAAAATTGGCAAACTTTTATACGGTCCGGTTTATGTTATGCAAGAATGTAAAAAATTTCAATTTAAAAAAAGTGATTGGAAAATTAATATTCGAAATCTATTAAATCGATTTTAATAAAATTTGGTGGGCTGTTTTATGTTTTTCGGGGAATTATGAATGTCTTAAGTGCAATTTAAGAAAAGGATTGTTTCCCCCTCTTTTTTTTGTATTTATTGCTATTTTGTAGCAACGGCAATAAATTAAAACATTTTTAACCAGATGTATCTTATAGAAAATTCAATTATCCTCATTTTATTTTATAACGACTTTGCTCCAAAATAAATCTTTTTAAAATTATAAGGAAATAAAGAAGAAGAAAAAACCGATGGTTTTGGTAATTTTTAAATATTTTAATTTATTTATTAATATTCTCGACCTCTATTTAAGAGGGAGGATAAATAAATTATTATTACTGAAGTTTTCACACAACTTTTTCTGCAAAAACCAGAATGCCACCTCGCACATTAACGTGTAGTCGTTATTCCACAGATCCGCCCTGGTCTTTAAGGAATAATACAAAATAAAAACAAATAATAAAGTTTATTCTCAAAGAATCGTACATAAAGAAGCAGTATGAATGATTTCCTCATCACAGTTTTTGTTATAAATATCGATATAAATCTTATGAAATATACAAAAGCGAAAGCTTATTTATTTCCGTATAAACATTAAAAACAACAAAGCTCTTTGGTGCAGTAACCCAATGTTCACGTTTTACGATTACGTAGATCCAGAACCTCCACAGTTGCGTTGTTATCGATTCGTACATGGTCAGCTTCCTGTAAAAACAATTAAGTATTATTTATACTAAGATATAATATCGAATGGTATCACAATCCGAAGTAATGGATGTCAAAAGAAAGCATGACAGATTGGTCAAATAAATTCGATATATTGTAGTAGAAAAAAAACTGAACTTATCTACAACTAGAATTATGTAATGTTAAACTGATATGGCTACCGCTAAATATTACAGCTATATGCCAGACACACGACCACGGCAATATAAAATGTTTTAAAAACTATTAGAGATAGATGTCAACCGTTCGAACAATCTGACTGACAGCTTGGGGCCTATCAACGTAACCAATAGTCTAATTTGAACGACGACCCCATGAAAGAAAGTGCATACTAAAACTATGAATAATTGTCTATTAAAGCTGGATTCAGTAAACAAATGAACTGTGAGTCTGAAGAAGCTTCCAAGACGAATGAGTGAAAATCCTTAATATAATTATTAAAGGATGTGAATGTGGCTTTGAGGTAAATTGTGTTAAAATATATAAAAGTGAAAGTAATGACAACAAAGTGAATAAATTGTAAACTAATGATATGTTTTGTACACACTTATGAACAAACTAATGAATTAAACAAATTAAAAGTCAATTTTAAAGTTATGGTCAAATTGTAAAAAATACCATTACTATAGTAGAATCCACAGTTAGAATGCAGTGTTGATCTTACGGCGCGTAGCGATGCCGCTGTTGTCGGCACAGTGGTAGGTGCGTGGTAGTTTGGCGATAGACTGAGAAATCAGGACCGTATGCGCTTCGTTTCAAAAATCTTTACTCATTAATTTAACTGAGCTAAATAAGAGAACAAACAACAAAAACAAATTGATTCTATAAAAATGCCTGTATAAATAAAAAATTTAATACCTCTAAAATACTTATATACATAATACAAAAAATGCAGGTAGTTTACCCTATACGACACGATAAATATATATACATAATATACACAAGGTGATCATAAGTGAAATGTAGTGTACATACAGTACTAAAAAAATGAGCATTAAATCTGAGATATTTCTCGTTAATTAATACTAATCGCACTCCATATCTAAATCGTCCTCATCCTTTGAATCATCTCCTATATTAATTATCACCGGTTGATATTTCCTGCAAATTGTCCACCGCAAACATTTTTTTTTCTACTTTCTTTACGTGGTTCGCTAAATTATGCCATTGCTCTTTAGACATGCTTTGATAAGCTTCTTTTATCAACCGTTTTACCATTTTCTTTAAAATCAACCTTGTTTGAAGCCTCATACCTTTTCACTTGAATCCACACCATCCCAATCGGGCCGCAGTATCTAGTAATTCACTTTTTAGGCAATCTTCCTTGAAGAAAATGTTCTTTTCCGTTAGCCAATACTTGATTTGCCTTTTGTTCCACAATTTTTTCGGGAAATCAAATTTGCGGGAGTAGTATGACGTGTTATCTAAAACGACGTTTTCCTTGACTTTCGGCAAGTGTGGAATTAACGTCCTCTCACACCATTCTTCATACAGATCCCCGTCCATTTCGTCATGGTCATCAGCGGTTCCTTTCTTGGCCAAGAAAGTTAATTCGGCCATTGTCACAAAACCAGTTTGCTTCCAGCATGAAGAAGAACAAACTGAGGACCTTTTTGAGCTGGAGCTTTCAGTCCAGTAGACAGCCCTTCTATGAAGGCATCTCGTGGATTCTTGATCGTTGTGTCCCTCCATTCCTTTTTGACTGAAGCACAGACGTTAATCCAAGACTCATCAGTATAAACAAGGTTTACATTATTTTTTTTCCTCAATGTTTTATTTGTCTAAGGTACTTGTGTCTCCAGGATATCTTTTCTTTCCATCTTTATCGAATCTCGATCTCTTTTACGATATTCAAAACCGATGTCATTTAGTAGCCTACGAAATGTAGTTTTTAAAAAAACTGGTAGGTCCTCATCATCCTTCACTCGGTTGGAGGTATGTTTCCAAAAAAAAAAAAAACATGGACAATTTTCCTTATTCGAGATTTCACTTCCTCATCGTAAGTATTCTCACGTGAATTGGAGTGGAGACTGTTTTTCTTTCTTTTTTTACCGGTTTCATAAATTTTGCGAACACTCACACCGCACATTTTCGAAATTTTTTCCAATGATCAAGCTCTCACCAATTTTTAATCTCAGATGATAGTTTAATACATTTAACAGCACACGTTGTACTTATAAACTGATAGTAATGGTCTGTTTGAAGCTCACGGCAGATACAAGCAACGGCTCCATGATGTAGATACTTTCATCCGCTTGCGAAAATGAAATATAACTGAGCTTTCATAGTTTTTGCCAACAAGTTTTTGGTCTAATGGCCAGTACCCAAATCGATAAAGAGACATGCTTGCTTTGCGTGGACAATGCGAGATTAAAAATGATTTGCTTCTCCTAATGACTTTATAATGATTTTTATTTCTCAAAGAATGTGTTTACAATGGAAGCTATTGAAAATAGATAAATATAGATAAGCGATCGACAATGAGTTTTTGATATATTTTACTTTTTTATAGTATTTTTCTTCGTGTTTTTGTTTAGTTCGACAATGTGACTCTCTTATCGATCATCGTGACATCGATGGTTAAATCATGCTTTAGTTGAAACAATACTCATAGTCTTTTATACAAGCGTAGGCAACTGTGTTGTGCGCATATATTCCAGTTCTATGATTCTTAAATGTTGTCCTGATGCACCACTCGTGCCAAACCGGCAACGTGGTCGGCCGTTCTCTCGTAAGAAGTACATTGTCTATATTACCTGTACGGCATTCTAACTGTGGCTTCTACTATAGAGAGGGATCCCATCGTTCAAAAAAGTTTACAGTTTCTTGATCAAAATTTAAACGAGTTTTAAAAAAGTCATTCAAAGGATAGCTTACAAAACATAATATGTTTGGATATGGTACGGGTGAAAGCACCCATCCATCTGGAGAGTGCTGAGGTGATACTGACTCAGTTTTACATATCACCTTAGCACTGTTCGGATAGATGGGTTCTTACACACTTTTAAATTATATTTCTTTTTAATTTATACACAAAGAAGTGAACGCTTCGAACGGAAAACAATGAACTCATTTAAAACATTTTTTAAATAAATTTTATTTACAGTACAAAAGATATTTGAGAATCAAACTTTTACAAGTAAAAATACATTCATTAAACTACATGAAAATTTCTTTTAATCGCTTCTTTGAAAATGGCTACCCAATCTCGTCCAATTTGTTGGTGAGTGTCACATTTCTTCGAAACGAATCATCCGAAAGCAAAAACCAAACTGATTTCATATTCTATACTAAATTCTATACTAAATGAAATATTGTTATAACTTTTTTAAATAAAAATGAATATGTTTGGTTGTAGTACCGACTATAGAGAGACATCTAAAGAGTGCCGTTTGGTTTATGTTAATAAGTGCAATAGTTTCGAAATACGAGTGACACCTAATTGAAAAAACGTAGTTTCGAGAAAATCTCGTTAAAGTAAATTTAGTGACCGGATAAACAGCTGGCGCGCTCCGCTCTCTCCTCTTCTTAACCTACTTCAAGGGAGTATGGGCCTTCTTGACTAATTCTATATCATTTCTAATATTTTCTAGCAATAAAAAAAAATCGTTTTTTTTTTAAATTGTTTGGAGAAACCTGCCTTAAAACTTTTGTTTCTGTTTTTTTATATCCATATGTAATGTTTATTTCAATTTTACTTAATACTTACAACAAATAGTGGTTGTTCCGTTGCGTGCGAATGGAAACCATCTTGTCTGCAATTGGCAATTATTTTCAGACCATAGTTTGGAGTTAACGTAAATATGCCGGTCCTAAAAAAAATTAACATATCGATAAAAGATGATAATGATATAAAACGTTAAACAAACTAATGTATAAGGACAAACCAACCTAATCGCCTAAGATTTGCAACAAAATCTCATCGAATCGTTTGTAAATTGTGGAACGCTCTTTATTATTTTTTTTGAAACGCAACCAAAAATACGGAAGGTATGACAATAGTTTGAGGTTCCAAGGAGTAGTGATGATCAATATAAGATGTTGCTTCCTGATAACACCTCTAGCCACTCCTACTCAATTCCTATCCTCACCTTCAAGAAGTGTGACTTAATCACACGGGTTGGCCCTGGCAAACCTAAGTAACCCTACCGAAGATTGGATAACCAACCCCAATGGAAAGTAGGGTCAGGGCCGACGAGGAAGGGAGAAATGGTCCTCCGAAAAGGGGGTTAGGCATAGGGCTAACAACCCTATCGTAGAAAACACACGTTGCGAATGTTCAAGGAACGAAAACCGGACTGATCAAACAACGACGACTGCGTGAGAAAAAGGGTACATGATTTAAGAATCGCGACATGGAACATCCGATCCCTATACAGATCGGGAGCCCTCTAAAATCTGCTCGGTGAACTGAATAGATATGACGAGGAAAAGGAAGACGATGTCAAAGAAACATTCTATGAAGAACTAGAAGCTGCATACCATTCATGTCCAAAGAATGACATCAAAATTATTTTTGGTGATCTCAACGCAAAAATAGGAAAAGAGCAACAATGCCTACCAACTATAGGTAAGCACAGCCTTCATGAGGTATCCAATAACAATGTCATCAGACTAATAAAATTAGCAACTTCACCTAACATGGTCATTGCCAGCACATGCTTCCAGCGAAAAAATATTCATAAGGGAACGTCGAGATCTTCAGATGGGGTCACAGTAAACATGATCGATCATGTTATTATTGACTCTAGACATCACTCAAATGTAATAAACGTATGCAGCAGAAGAGGGGCAAATGCAGACTCGGATCACTACCTAGTGGAAAGTAGAATAAAAGCCAGAATCTCAAACATTAAAAAAAAAGAGATCCAAAATTGAAAAATATGAAATAAAAAACTTAGCAGACAACAGCAAAAAGGCAAAATACAGAGGATATATAAAAGAAAGGCTAGAAAATAGACACAAGCAGGAGGATATAAACAGAGAATGGGAAGCGTGTAAAAACATCATACAAGACGGGGCCAAAGAGACTCTGGGTCTACAAAAACAGCCCAAATCAACTGAAGGACAGTAGTTAGATGAAAAGTGTCGTAATATAACAGAGAGAAAAAATAATGCACATCAACGACTACAACAACGACATAGAACACGAAAGGCAGAGGAGGAATATATAATGCTTAGGAGGGAAGGGAAGAAAATACATCGCAGAAAGAAAAGAGAACACATAGAAAACGAACTCCAAGAAATGGAAGAACTAAATAAACCATCAGAAAACAGAAAATTCTACCAAAAACTTAACAAAAGTAGAAAATAATTTAAACCAAGAACAATGATGTGTAGAGACAGAGGAGATATAGTAACTCAACAGAATGAAATATAACAAAAATGGACATAATTCTTCAAAACGTTTGAAAAAAAACGAAGATCCACCATATGATGGAATTATACTGGATCAAACAGATACCAGAGAAACAACCCCCCTTCAGTAGCTGAAATGCAAGAAGCAGTTACCAGACTGAAAAACAACAAGTTACCTGGATTAGACAACATTAGCGCAGAATTAATAAAGGTAGGTGGAGACTCCCTATTGAATGCGATACACGAACTAATAGTGAACATATGGAATAATAAACAACTGCCACAAGACTGAAATACCGGAGTAATTATCCCTCTACATAAAAAGATTCCATGCAAAAACTAGCGGGCAATAACGCTACTGACTGTGGCATATAAAATACTGTCAAATATTGTGTATGACCGATTTAGACAATATGCGGAACAAATAGTTGGGGGATATCAATGTGGTTTCTGCAGGCAGAAGTCCACAATAGATCAGATCTTCGTCTTGAGGCAAATCTTGTAAAAGACTAGTTTTAGAATTTAATATAGACACACATCATCTTTTCATTGACTTTGAGAGTGCCTATGATAACATCCATCGAGAATTTCTGATCCATGCACTGAAAGAGTTTAATATTCCAACTCAACTCATTGATATAGTAAAAGAAATACTTAAAGTACAAAGCAAAATTCGAATTCAAAACGAACTAACAGATACAATCCATGTGAGAATGGGCCTACGACAGGGAAATGCCCTATTCTGTATTCTATTCAACATCACATTAGAGAAAATAATTAGGGAGTCAAAAGTCAACACCAGAGGAACAATAATAACAAAAAGTGTACAAATATTGGCATTTGCAGATGATGTTTATCATAGCTAGAAGCGAAAGAGAGATGATAGAAGCATTTAATGCGATAGAAAGAGCGGCACAAAACAGTGGCCTAAACATTAACGAAATAAAAACCAAATACGTACAGGCCAGTAAATCGACAGGTCAAAGAAACCTACAGAATCTGACAATACGAGACTATAACATCCAAAGCGTGAAAAGTTTTACATATCTAGGTTCACTAGTTACCGCAGATAACAATATCAGTGAAGAAGTTAGGAGAAGAATACATATCGCTAATAAAACATATAATGGACTAAATTAAACATCTAAGATCTAATAACATCACAAGAAAAACCAAATGCAAAATATACAAGACCCTGATAAAACCGGTCCTTGTATATGGATCAGAGACGTGGACACTGTCGAAAAGCGATGAGAACCTATTAGGTACATTTGAACGAAAAATCCTTAGACACACACACACACACACACACACACATATATATATATATATATATATATATATATATATATATATATATACATATATATATATATATATATATATATATATATATATATATATATATATATTATATATATATATATATATATATATATATATATATATATATAAGGGGGTAAAGGAAAATAACATAAGGCGCAGAAGATATAACTTTGAACTATACACAGCATACAATGAACCCGAGATCTAACATCCATAAAGATTGGACGTCTGCGCTGGATGGACTGTTGAACGGATGATGGAGACTGAAACGCCAAAACATATAATGAGGCAAACACCTGTAGGGAGAAGGTCAAAGGGAAGACCCAAACTTAGATACATGGAACAAGTGGAACAGTATCTGAAAACACTTAAGATTACCACCTGGAAAAACCAAGCAAAGAACAGAATAGAATGGCGGAAAATCCTAGAATAAGCCAGGACCCATAAAGGGTTGTCGAGCTACTGATGATGATGACAATAGTTTAGAATCATTAAAGATGTTAAAAACCATATTAAGTGAGACATAAGTCTCCGCGGAGTGACTGCGAAACATAAATTTGTTACTGCTGCTATGACGAGCATTTCTTCAGTTCCTGACGTGAATCCAGTCGTTCCTTGGCAACAATAAAGGGTAAGTGGTTATTTACATAGATTCTTTGTGCTGATAAGACATGTGTAGACGTGTAGACGTTGTGCCAATTGATTGTCCTTATATTTACAACCATACACATTTCTTCTTTTACTGTTTGAATTAATTAACCAACCAATTTTCAACATAAACAAAACCTATAGAAAAATCAGTACAGAAGAAAAGAAAATGGAGACACGACAAAGATAGAGCAATAATGTAGACAAAGATCTAGAAAGGTTCTAAAACAGTTGTCAATGTATCAAAAAAACGGTTGAACGCAACATATAGAGTAGTACTATTTAAAAACGAACTGAAGAAAAACACAAAACCAAAAGCAAATGTTGGTAAAGAGGAACTCGAAGCTATAAAAGCTCTAAAGATGAGTCCATAAGAATAATACCAGCTGTCTAGGGTAACACAAGTGTAATTATAGAAAGAGATTATTACCAGGAAAATTTCAAGAATTGGTCACAAATGTACGTTACATCAAACTAAAAAAGGACCCAACCAGCACAAATTTAAGGAATGCCTGACAGACTACCAAAGAAGAACATTAACACCAGATAACAGTAGGACAACATACCTATACAGAGTTCCAAAAATTCACAAAGAAAATGTACCCCTCAGACCAATTTGTCGTAGCATAGGTTCTCCTTGAAATGGACTGCAAAGTTCCTCCTAGATACAATGCAGCCTTTAGCACAAAACACATCTTTTATCAAAAATTAGCAGAAATAGTGCACCATTCTAACAAGTGCTAGTCAGTTTTGTAATCACCAGAATTCTGTAAACAATAAGAGGTAAATTAGAGAAGGATGATACATTGACAACAAAAAACAAACTGAATGTATCTGCTATCACTGAGCTATTAACACTTCGAACAGATAACACTTATTTTCAAAAGATAATGATTTCTATATTATATCTATTCTATATATGATCTCTATGATATAATTTCATTCTTAGCAGATATATTCATGGAAGATTTCAAACAAAACTTTGTACACAAACAACAAAAACAACCCACAGTAAGATGGAGATATGTAGATGTGGTTTTCCTTTGGCCTCACGGACCAGAAGCATTGAATAAACACAAACGGAAACTACACACATGCAACTAAGTTTACAGAAAACCAACACACATTCAGATATTTAAATTACCACTCCAATCACAACGTAAACCTTGATCGATATAAGATTTTTTTAAATCTTTTTTAAAAGTGATTTCCGGAGTGGAAATAAAATATAATAAAAGACAATAATAAGAACTAGAATAGAACTAGAATGTATCTATCTCTCCACCGTCGCGTCTATGATCATAATAAAAAGAGAAGGATTGACTTTTGCCTGCATAGTGTTAAAAGTTATCAATGAGCATTGATCAGAAAGTCAGCGTCGGAGATACCGGGAGGAAATAATTAAAGAGCACGGAAAACAATGAATAATGGCAAAACTCTAGCTGTGAAAGTATACACTCTTCAAAATAACTGTTAAGCTCACTGACTAGATATAGTTTTTATTGACGTTTTCTTTTCTATCTGATACATTCAAGTTCGGTTTATCGAGCTCTGTAAACTAATAACTGTACTAAGAAAAATAATATCAGTATATACTTACTCATTATACTTAGGTGCACATACGATGGCAATTGCTTCAGGCATTAACAACTGGTAGGGACAATGTGTATGCAGATCCACACTTGAAAGAAATGTTGTTTGTGTTGGATGTGTCTAAAACAATTATGATCATTAACATAGTTTACAAATAATATCAAATAAAGACTTCCAGAATATTAGTTTGGAAGAAAAACTATATATGGAAATTCAAATTTGGAAATAGTCAAAGTTTGCGTATGAACTTTAAGATTAAATTTGAAAAAATGTTTTTGGCTCTGTTGTATATTTAGGAGTTTAAACAGTAAGAATTATTTGAATGCTTTAAGTAGACTTTACTTGTTAAATACTCTAAACAAGAGATAAATAGTGGATTTTGCACCTATTAATCAACAAATATTACTCTATTGCAATTTGATATCAAGTCTATCCCGAGTTATCTATTACACATAAGTACGTTAAATTTTGAAGTAGATATTGCAACTACATAAAGCGCTAAAATCGCAAACATTGCCTTGTACGAGGTAATTGTAATTTTTAGATCCCTTCTGACACCTAGACAGAAAACGAGAAAATCATTCAGTAACACATAACAACGCATGGGATATGCATCTCCGACCGTCGACTTTTGTTTTCATTACGCATACCCGGTTCATTTCTTATAACATGAACTCTATAAAAATAAACTGACATTATAAGGCGGTGCATTTGTATCGGTTTTTAATAATGTGAACAATTTTTTGTGGTTGAATTAAAAATGAAAGCGCAATTCTTTAAAAATATAAAACAAAAAATATAGTCTTATTGAAAATAAAAGACAATTCCTAATAAAATAAGAAATAATTCTTATGCCCTGCAGAAACTTCTGCGGACAGATGTACTAGTTTCTACAGACTTGAAGACTTCTCTTATTCCGTTTTTTAATTCATTCAAATTTTGTCCCCAAAAAAAGAAATCCATGAGTGTAAGATCTGGAGATCGCACAGGCCACTTAATATCGCCTGTTCCACTGATAATTCGATTCGAGAAAGTATTGTTTAAGTTAGGGATTGCGATTCAGCAGCATTTTCAGTCTAGCTGGATTTTTGCAAGATTGGCCTGAATCCAGCTGGATACAGCAAAATGTGGAATTAAAATAAAAACACAATTTTAATGTTTTTTTTGTTCATTTATTACTTAAGCTTTTTAATACAAACTAATAAAATAAAACCTCAAAATAAAAATTATCTTGATGTTATTAGGTGTATATAATCAAATTAGGACGTATAATCAGTCGCAATTCGCAATCAATCTTACCTCTCTTTAACTTAAAATGTATCAGCAAGTATCAGCTAAATGTAGAGCAAATGCCACGATTATCATGAGATTAAAAAAAACTCGTGCTCAGTAAGTCGTGAAAGTGAAACATAGGGCACATAGTGTCACAAATGAAATTTTATACAAATGAACGTATCTGTTGTAAGAGTAGTTCATTTGACCCAAATTTCATTGATGGCAATTTTGAGCTGACACAAGTTAAGTAATATGTTTTTCTTCCATGGCTTACTGAGGACGAGTGTTTTTTGGATATCATGCTAAAAATTAGTCTGTATTCTAAATTTCTAAACAACAGAAACATGAATTATTCAGTTTTTTGGAAGTGAGACCTTAAAAAACATATTTTATCTATCGTCTTATGACGATAACTACTTCGCACAGATCTGCACATATAGCCAGTTGCGGAGAAAGCCCTTTTGGCCTCTACGCTGATCGGTTTTAAGGTCATCAAATAGTCATAAATCATAAACAAATGATTGTTTCATATTCATTAGTGTCGTCTATTGGTGCTTGTTCTACTTCTCTTTGAGGTTTCTTTTTATACAGCACGTCTACACACGGCAGTACAGCAGATTGAGAGAGGCACTTATTAGGCGTGAAAACGCTTTTACTGGCAAGAGCAGAAAGTCAACTAAAAATTAGACAAATTGAAGAGGTCTAAGTGTCAATGGGTAGGCGTAGGCGGTGTACTCGAGAGAAAGGGCGACGCGATGTTGCAGTTCAATCGCACTTGTGGCACGTCCTACCTGCTAGCGCGATAGCGCTAACAGGTAGGCTAAGGTAGGCTAGGTAAGAAGCTAATGAAGACATGAAGTAACTTATTTCGAATTTGACAAGTTTGTAGATCCGCGCTGCTGGATCCAGCATGTAAAAAATAACGCTGGATCCTGCTGGATTACTGGATGCTGAATCCAGCAATTGCAATCTCTAGTTTAAGTACTCCCTAATTATTCGAGCGTTGTGAACTGAATAGCTGTCAAGATGAAACCAAACATTCTTCAGATTTACATCAGAAAGATTGAGAATAGCGGAAAGAACCTAATTCTTTAACAAATCGAGGTATACTCTACTATTCAAGTTGCCCTCAATAAAAAATGGACCTATTATGTTGTCTCTTAAAATGCCAGTCCAGACGTTAATTTTTTGAGGAGGTTGAGTTTGGTAAACAACACTTCTGTGCTGGTTTTATCGCGCCCAATAGACACTTCTTAAGCGTGATAGTTTCTGCGGTTTTTAAGGTAATAACAACTTTCAAAATTTTTAACAATATTATAAATTGACTGTACGACACGAATTGGTCTCCCCTCAAAAAACACAGAACATAAATCTACACATTGCTGTCCAGAATTACCAATATAAAACCATTTTATTATTTGAACCTTTTCTGCGAGCGGGTAAACATACATGTTGTTTACAAAAATAAAATAAAAATCTACGCTCTTATTGCTTTAAATAACCACTGTGCAATGACAAATTATAGGCGACGGATAAACGGATGTTCGTGGAAAGTCTATGACCGTGAATAATTGAAAATCTGTTTAGGTGAATCTGTCGAGCTCCTTGAGATAGCAAAAATTTATTGAGGTAGCACGCCTTAGATGGATCGGGCATGTAACAAGGCGAAAAGAAGGTGCAACCAAACATCGCCCCAGCAAAATCTTAAATTCGACTACGACTCCCGCATGGTGTAAATACTGATATTTTTTCTCGCGACGATCCAAGCAATCTTACCTTTCACCCTCTCTTTCTCGGTTGTACAGAACTCACTTTTTAGAGGCATCTGTCAATGTAAACAAACAATTGGAAAAAAACCAATAACCAAACGAAGAATACGTTTTACCTGAGGCAATTTGGGTGTGTAAAATGAATTACTCTTTCGAAGATTTGAAAAACGCAAATGCAAACCTTATACAGAGTGAAAAAATGCTACAGAGTTAGAGCATGAAGAAGGGTTGTCCCCGAAAGTGGCAAATGGAGAATTGTTCTGAAGACTTTGGCTTATAACAAGCTGTGATGCCACTGATGTTCATGAATTAAAAATCTGAAAATCGATCGTTATATTGATTGCTCAATTGAAATCGTAAAACATAATTGAGAACAAAATCCAGCAGACCTTTCCAGGATTATCTATTACTAAAATCTTACTTTTATATATTTATTTGTCGTACTATAGTTAGTTTCTACTTTCGTTTGAATAAAATATTTGTTGTTTGCTTTTCAAGATTAGTATTATTATTATTTAATAAAAAATGGCTAATGAGAATAATAGTAAATAAAAAACAATAAATAAAATGCTATTGTACTCACATGTATCCATCCAATGGTAATAAGATTAAATGCATCTTGATATTCGAAAATTTCCTCTTCGTTTGTAGCGTGGCAAGTATCTGACGTCCCTTTTTGTTTTGGTAAAATCATGTGGGTTATAATCAATTCGTTTTTTTCCTGAAAAGAAAAACTTTAACATTAGGATGAAAAAAAACTATAAACTTTTTCAAAACAATTTGTGGCTTTTGCAAGGAACATATGTTTACTATGAGCATCTCTCCCCTCTATAGTGTATTTTTATGTATGAGAGAGTAATAAAACAATAAATTATGTATGCAAATCCCTAAACTGTTGATACGGGTGACTCAATGAAAAACAGATATTTGTCAACAAGTTTACAGAAATATATAGGAAAACAATTTTAAATTGAGTATGACCACCAGGTATAAAGGTTGGAGCAGAATAGAATACAATAGTTGTGAGGGTTAATAATCCCTAAATAAGGTTGCCAGTGTCGGAGTGATGGAGGTTAACAGGTACTAATGAATTTGCAAGAGATGTAAGATGTTTATTTTATTGGTTATATATAACAAATAAAAGTTTAATAAGTACCTACCTATTTGCAAAATAAAGTTTAATTCTTTAGATAAAATAAAACGTTTTATTTTATCTGAAATGAGTGCATTCCACGAAGTAAGGGTTTCAACAATCAAACATTTAATTCTTTAGTTCCAGGAATCTACGACAGTAATTCACTAGATAATTACCTTCTAAACTTATTCCACAGAAAATGTGATAGTGGGTTTTTCCATTTTGTAGGAAGGTCCAAGTGGCGTATTCAAAATTCTTAACAGTTCACTAAAAGTAGGTACTTCAGTTGCAAGGTGCAGTTTATTGTGTATACTAGTGTTATGGAAAATTTGGAAGTGCCGTGTAAACGCCGAAAAATTGGTCCTTTAACAGTTAATGAAAAAACATTAATATTTAATTGTTTTAAATCATTTACAGACAAACGTTTATGTGAAAGTGTTGATGAGACCGTTGAGTTAGTTAGCAGTACACTTGGTGTTGGGAAATCTACGATTTACAGAGTTATTAAAGAAGAGAAATGTGGTAGTTTTCAAATGCCACGTAATGCTCCAGGGAAACCAAAATTTCAAATAGAATATCATTTTAAAGAAGGACTTCGACGGAAAGTGCATGAATTCTTCTTTAGACAAGAATTTCCAACATTGGATAAAGTTCTTGTCTCAGTTCGAGATGATAAGGATTACCCAGAAATGAGTTGAAGTACGTTATGGAAACTTTTAAAAGAAATAGGCTTCCGCTGGAAAAAGAATCCCAGAAAGTCTATTTTATTAGAAAGAAGCGATATTGTCATATGGAGAAGACATTTTCTAAGAACCATAAAGGAAATGAGAAACCAAAAAAGAAAAATATTTTATCTTGATGAAACATGGATCAACGAGGGTCATACACCAAATAAATTTTGGCAGGATGAAACTGTTACAAGTCAAAGGCACGCTTTTGTAAATAACTTATCTACTGGTTTAAACCCACCATCAGGAAAGGGACGCAGGCTGATAATAGTACACATTGACAGTTCAGACGGTTTTGTTGAAGGTGGTTTATTAACTTTTGAATCAACTCGTACCGGTGACTACCATGAAGACATGAACGCTGATGTCTTTCAAGAATGGTTCGAACAAATGATAGATCTTCTTCCTAAGAACTGTGCAATAGTAATGGATAATGCAAGTTATCACTCCAGACTTATAGAAGGACTGCCCACAACCAAGTGGTTAAAAAAAGACTTGCAGAATTAACTGAGTTCAAAAAATATTACGTACCATCCCGGATCTATAAGAAAGGAACTTTATTCGTTGTGTGCCCTTCATAAAGAAAAATTTTAAAAATACGAATTTGATGAAATTGCCAAAAATCGTGGAATGACAGTACTTAGATCCCCACCATATCATTGTGAATTAAACCCGATTGAACTGGTATGGGCACAGATAAAGAGTGAAGTTTCAAGAAAAAATACCACTTTTAAAATTCATGATGTTAAACAGTTGTTTTTGGAGGCCGTAAATAATGTAAAACCTGAAAACTGGGAAAAGGCAGTAAATAACACTATTAAAGAAGAGGAAAAAATGTGGAAGCTGGACAATATTACTGATAAAATGATCGAGCCAGTTATTATAAATCTTGGTTCTGAAAGTTCATCTTCTGAATCTGATTTGGATTTGTAACAAGTAGCTGTAAGTTTTATATTAATATTTTTATTCATCTATTTAACATACCTTAGACGGGTTTAAAAACTCTTTTTCTCTTTTGTAATTTTTAAAAATTAAAAAAAATGTGAATTTTTTAAAACCCTTTTTAATGTAGGCCAGTCAGTTCTAATATAGTGTGTGATAAAAGGGGTCACTTTTGTTTACATACACATAACACTTTATAACACTGAAATAATTAATTTATTTTTTACAATTATTCAAAGTAATTTTTCAATTAATCTTGAACACGCCCATGGAGTGGTCGAAGGTACCAGTTAAAATTATGCTAATTACTCTCTCGTTCATAAAAATAAACTATAGTGAAGTAAAACACTTAAGTATAAACTTATGAATTTAACAAAATTCTTACCAATTTTCCGCATAGTATACCACACGTTTCAATATTTTTAAAAGTATTCGATTGGGCCATAGCTTGGAACAGCGTCATTAATTGAACAGGCACGACTACGGGTCTCAACAGGTTACTATCATATCTTCCATATATATCCGATGGTTTTTTGGTTCGATCGATTTCAGGTCTTCTAAAAATAAAGTAACAATTGGTAAGTTTCTAAGTATATAGTGTGTAAAAGCCAAATGGAATAAATTCAATATTTAGGTTACTGTACATATTTATAAAAAATCCCAAAACACGTTAAATTTAAATTATAACTTGACATTCTTTAACGTGAAAATGCAACCCCTACCTTCAGCCCCCTTAGAATGACAGGTACAACCCCCAATTTTTAAAATAGGAAGTGTAGGCTAGTGATATATCGTTTGAAAGGTCTTTTCATTTTTTATTCAAAAATGATGTCGCTTTCAAGTTTATTAAGATTAATTAAAATAAAATAAATTAAAATCATGTGGTTACCGAAATTCGCTACAATACAATCAAAAACTAAAATGTAATGCAAAACGTAATTAAATGTAGAACACGAAAAAGAACTGTGAATGTTAATGAAGTAGATGTTCAAAATGTTCACCGCAAACATCTTGGCAACATCCTAATCTCAAATAAAACTGTCTTCTAACATTATTTAACATAACAGACGTGATCGACCTAATCGCAAGTGTTATTCGTTTTTTTTAAGTCATTTACATCAGAAGGTTTAGTTTTATACACATAGCTCTCCACATATTCCCATAAAAAGAAATCTAATTAATAAATCACCGATTGGGAAATATTGTATCAAGGTACTTCCGGACATTAAGTTGGTAATGTGGTGGTGCTTCATCCTGCTGAAACCATATCGTAATCGCTGTAACTTGAGGGTTTTCTGGATCAGGATGTAAATTTGCCAACGTTGGTATGACATAATTTTGAAGAAGTGCCAAATAATTCAAAATTAATGGGAAAAACCCCGTAATTGGCTGTATACCATCGTTTAAAAAAACACAGAAGTTAAAACACTTCACAATTGTGTATTTTGGTATAAAAACATACAAGTACTTAAAAACTTTTTAAAAAAGTGTCGTCAACATTTAAAATTATGGCAGAACGTTTTCAATCTCTACAGATCATCTTCAGTGCCTTTGGTATTTGGTGCTAACAATATGGTGTCTATAAGACTTCCATGTGTTGGTTTAAAAATTTTTCACATTTTACATTTAATAATGTTGAGAGTCTAGGTCGATGACAATGGAATTGGTTTTAAATTAAAATTTACTTTAGGGACTACATGTCTCTTAAGCTCGAATTCGAAGACATGTAGTCCCTAAAGTAAATTTTAATAAAACCAATTCCATTGTCATCGACCTAGACTCTCAACATTATTAAATGTAAAATGTGATAAATTTTTAAACCAACACATGGAAGTCTTATAGACACCATATTGTTAGCACCAAATACCAAAGGCACTGAAGATAATCTGTAGAGATTGAAAACGTTCTGCCATAATTTTAAATGTTGACGACACTTTTTTAAAAAGTTTTTAAGTACTTGTATGTTTTTATACCAAAATACACAATTGTGAAGTGTTTTAACTTCTGTGTTTTTTTTTTGCCAAATAATTGTTGCCATTCAAGTTGCCCTCAATGAAAAAGAGACCAATGATATTGTTTCCTACAATCCCTGCCCAAACATTAAACTTTTGAGGGTATTGAGTGTGTTCTTCTCTCATACAGTGAGGATTTTTCGTGGCCCAGTAGCGGCTATTTTGCCGATTAGCATGACCGTTAAGTGAAAAAGTACACTCATCAGAAAACATAACGTCTTCTAATTTGATAATATTGTTATCCAACATGTCTATTATTTGCTCACAAAAAAAAGTTCTCCTATCAAAATCGTCTTCCATGAGCTCCTGAGTAGGTATCATCTTATATGGATGCAATTTATTTTCTTTTAATATGTTTACTATCGATGTATGGCTAGCATTGAATGCAGTGGATGCCTGTCTACTCGATGTATGTGGATTTTCCTGAAACTCAAGCAACACATTTAATTTGAGTTCATCACTCAGTGCATTGGCAGCTGCTTTTTTTATCTGCCTTACATGACCAAACTCGCGAAACTGCTCCTCTATTTTACTTATTGTTCCCTGGGATATAGGCGGTAAATTAGGAAATATCTCATGAAATAGGCAAGTTACTTCCTGTTGTGTTCGGGTGTTATCTCCGTAACCAATCATTTGTAAAACTGTTATTTTATGCATTTCCGTAAATCTAACCATTTTTCAGAATTGTAAAGTTTTTTAATGGTTACCATCTAAAAAACCACATTGCTATGGTTTTTGTTCACTTTCTCATTATCAAGACCTAAACGGGAAATAAGTTTTGAGTATATTTTAGCGAATTTCGGTAACCACATGATTTTAATTTATTTTATCTTAATTAATCTTAATAAACTTAAAAGCGACAACATTTTTGCATGGAGAATGAAAAAATCTTTCAAACGATATATCACAAGCCTATACTTCCTATTTTAAAAATTGTGGGTTGTACCTGTCATTCTAAGGGGGTTGAAGGTAGGGGTTGCATTTTCACGTTAAAGAATGTCAAGTTATAATTTAAATTTTATGTGTTTTGGGATTTTTTATAAATATGTACAGTAACCTAAATAATGAATTTATTCCATTTGGCTTTTACAAACTGTATAATGATGATTAATGACAATGATGATGCAAGATGTCATAAATTACAAAGATTTAGATTTGCAACAAGGTCTAGAATTTTGCATTGCCCGAATACAAAAAAATCCCTTGTATTTTATCTGTCAAACAACAATACCACGTTTAAATGCTTGCCCGTCATGACATATTTAAGTAACCCACGAAATAATAGCTTGCTAGAGAAGCACATTTCTAAGCAAAGGAAAGCAAAACACCAATGGTTTCAAAGAATTAAATAAACAAATAAAGAACGGATTAAAGGAAGACTTAAGAATCTATAATGAAAACAAGGTAGAAAAAATAATAGAAAAGAACCGAGGCCTGAAATGTTTAAGATCAAACTTAGGAAAGCCTGCAATAATCTGATTAAAGGATAAAGATGGAAAAGAAATAAGAGAAAACAATGAAATCCTAAAAGTTACTCAAACATTTTACCGCGATTTATATTCCTCAAAAAAGAACCCAGATAACACCGCAAAGGAAGATCTTAAAAAAAAGATAATGAATGTCAACTCAGAAATACTCCCTAACATAGAATCCTTCGAAATAAAATAAGCTATGGTACAACTAAAGAACTATAAGGCTCCGGGCCCAGATGGAATACTTGCAGAAATGTTGAAGGAGGGGTGTGAAATTATTCTCGAAGAATTGAAAAATGTTTTCAACGAATGCCTTCACAGTGGACAAGGCCCAGAAGATTGGAATGAAAGTTTGACAATACTTCTCCCCAAAAAGGGAGACAGGGGAGATCTGTAGAACTATAGGCCAATCTCCCTCCTGTCCCAAATGTACAAACTGTTTATGAGAGTAATAACTAATAGGTTAACGCCGATGCTCGATAGCTATCAACCGGTAGAGCAGGAAGGATTCCGAAAGGGTTACAGTACAGCGGATCATCTTCTTACAGTCAGAACTCTAATAAAGAAAGCCAATAAAGATCACTTGAACTTATACATTGGCTTCGTTGATTATGAAAAGGCATTCGACTCCATAGAACTTTGGGCAATAGACAGAGCTATGAACAACTGCAGGATAGACTCCCGATACATAATGCTCATACATAATGTTAACAAGAAAGCTACAATGAAAATACAAATAGATGCGAAAACCAAAGCTATACTAATCAACAGAGGAGTTCGCCAGGGAGATGTTATCTTATCAAAGCTATTCACACCTGGACTGGAAGACGTGTTCAAAGGCATTAACTGGGCAGATAAAGGAATAAATGTTAATGGAAGAAAACTCAGTAATTTAAGATAGGCTGATGACATTGTAATATTCGCTACAAGTTTCGAATACAGACCATGATGACGTAACTATTTCAAAATGAACTTGGAAAAAACAAAAATAATGACAAATATACCACACATTAGAGAAATAACGTTGAACGACATAAATTTAAAAACAGTAAGCGAATACATCTACCTGGGACAGATAATGAAAGTTAACAAAGAAAATCAAACTGCCGAAATTACCAGAAAAATAAGATTAGCGTGGGCAGGATTTGGAAAACTGAGTTGGATCTTGAAGAGCACTAAAATAGAACAATATTTGAAAACCAGAATTTACGATCAATGTATCCTCCCTATACTCACGTATGGTTCACAGACGTGGACACTCACTAAGTCTAACATGGATATAATATTAAAAGCACAAAGAGGGATGGAAAGATCCACGCTCGGGGTAAGACTTATAGACAAAAAAAAACAAACAAATAGATTAGAAGCAAAACGGATGTAAAAGACGTAGGAGAACATGCTGCCAAATTAAAATTGAGCTTCGCAGGACACAATGCCCGACAAAAAGATAAGAGATGGAACCACAAAATACAACAATGGAGACCATGGTTAGGAAACAGAAGTAGAGGAAGACCAAAAATGAGATGTGTGGATGATATTAAGATGATAGGAGAACACAACTGGAAGCAAGTGGCGCAAAATAGAATACACTGGATTGATTTGTGGGAGGCCTATGTCCAAAGTTGGATTACTTAAGGCTGAAGAAATAGCTTGCTGATTTTCGTTTGATTCTGTATGATACTCAATACTAAAAATAACATATTTAATAGACAAAATATAATCAAAGTAAAAGAAGTAGAAGAAGAAAAAAGAAATGAATGTAGGAGAAATTTTAGGAATAAAATTAAAAAAGAGACATAATTGTTTAATTAGCAGCAACGTTAAGTTCGACATGTAGAAAATATCGCTCAACTGACTCTCTTTTTGCAAGACAAGCGATCCTGAACAGGGATAGACTTAACCAAAACTTCTAAAAAAGAAAATGTTTATCAAGAGAAACCAACAATTCAAAATCTAATTCAAATCCAAAAAAAGGCGTACTGTAAGCTTGTTCTCATCATCATCATTTTGGCTTTACAACCCTGTGTGGGTCCTAGCCTCCCCACGAATTCTCTTCCAGTCGTCCCTATCCATCGCCTTCCTCCGCCAAGCACGTATTTCCATATTTCTCATATCTTGGTCTATGTTATCTAGGAATCTTGTTCTGGGTCTTCCTCTTTTTCTTTGACCAATAGGTCTATCAAGGAGCGTTTTTCTAGCTGGGTCGGTTTGCTCCATCCTCATTACATGGCCTACCCACCTCAGACCTGCTCATCTGGTTCCTGGTATATTCTATAGAGTTCGAAGTTGTATCGTCTTCTCCAGACACCATTTTCATTTACCGCTCCATAGATTCGCCTCAGTATTTTTCTTTCGAAACATCCTAACATGTTTTCATTGCTTTTTGTTAAAGTCCAGGTTTCTGAACCATATGTTAGGACTGGGCGTATTATTGTTTTGTAGAGTTTTACTTTTGTATTTCTTGATATAGCTGTAGATTTAAAAAGGAGATTAAGCCCAAAATAGCATCTATTAGCCGTGCAAATTCTGCGGTTTATCTCTGCGGTAATGTCATTTTCAGTATTGACGAGCGTTCCCAGGTATACAAATTCGTTAACTGCTTCGATGACGTCGTTTTCTATAACAAGTGGCCGTCGTATTTGTGGTTGCGGACCTACTTTCATGTATTTCATTTTATTAATGTTTATTATTAAACCCATTTTTGTAGCCGCTTCCTTTAGTGCTACATATGCCTCTCGTGCTGCGTTTTCCGTTCTCCCAACAATATTGATATCATCAGCATATGCTAGGATTTGCACAGATTTGTTATATATTGAACCGGTAGTTGTGATTTGTGACGTACGTATTACTTTTTCCAGAGCTAGATTGAATAGTATACAGGAGAGTGGGTCTCCCTGACGTAGCCCGTTATTTGTATTAAAAGGTTCAGAGAGTTCCCCCTGGATTCGTACTCTACATTCAACTTTTTCAAGGGTTAGTTTGGTTAAACTTACCAACTGATTTGGTACTCCCAGGTCTATCATTGCTCTAAACAATTCTCTTCTATTTACAGAGTCGTAGGCTGCCTTGTAGTCTATAAATATGTGGTGCGTGTCTACACCATATTCCAGTGTTTTCTCTAGAATTTGTCTCAGGGTTGAAATCTGATGAATTGTTGATTTACCACCTCTGAAACCAGCCTGGTATTGTCCTATTATTTGCTCTGCATACGGTGCTATACGATGGCATAGTATATTGGAGAATATTTTATACGCTGCATTTAGGAGCGTAATTCCTCGATAGTTAGAGCATTCAAAGATATCTCCCTTTTTATGTATGGTGCAAAGTATTCCAATATTCCAATCACAGGGGAGGGACTTCTGTATCCATATTTCTTTTATAAGCTGCTGTAGCGCTATTGTGATATCGTGGCCACCTTCTTTATATAATTCCGCTGGAAGATTATCTATTCAGGGTGATTTGTTTCTAGCTAGTTTATTGACAGCGTCTTTAACTTCCAGGATCGTTGGTGGGTTCTCCTCCCTCTCGTCTGCTCCGCTTACCTCACAGCTTTCGTCTTCCGGGTTTTCTTCTTCCTCTATATTAAGTATTTGGTTAAAATATTTCGTCCATCGATTTAGTACGTCTGTTCTTGTTGTTAATAGATCGCCATTCAAACTTCTACATTGATTTGTGTTGCCTTGAATTCTTTTCTGATGATGTTAACTTTCTTATAGAATGTTCTGAATTCTTTCTCTCTGTTGAGGTTTTCTATATATTGAAGTTCCTTTTTTAAGTGGTTTCGTTTCTTCATTCTGTGTATTTTCTTTTCTTCTCTTCTCTTTGTCTGGTAATTCTCTACACTTGTTCTAGTCCGGCGGGTAAGCATTTTTGCATAAGCTTCATTTTTTTTTCTGTGTTGCGTGTTTGCATTCATCGTCAAACCAGTAATTTTTTCGGGTACAAGTTTCTGTTCCTATTTCATCTTGTGCTGCTGACTCAATATCTTTCTTTATCGTGTTCCAGTAGGAGTCTATATCTCTCTGGTCTTCTTCGCTTGGACTTTGATTTCCTAACCTATTGGTAATATTTTCCCAGTACTGTTTTGCAGTAGTTGCATCTCTCAGCTTCGGTACATTCCATTTCTTTGTATCTATTTTTTTTTCTTTGTTGGAATTTGAAATTCTAGCCCTTAGTGTTGAGATCACTAAACAGTGGTCTGAATCTATGTTTGCGCCTAAGCTTGTTCTAGTTCACTAAAATCGAAGATTAAGGTATTGAGACTTCATAAAAATAGTGCAAAACATAAACAAATGATAAAATCTCACAGATATCAAGCATCAATAGTAATGTTGACTTAATTAAAACAAAACAAAAAATATATTAATTACCAATACTGTTAACGGTAACTTATCAATACTTTCGTATCAATGTACATGCGTAATGTTTGTTTGTCAAAGCAAATGTATCTAGGATATACTCAATCTACGTATGGACACGTACAAAAAAATTCCGAAGATTTTAACATATCAGACGAGGATTGTGATACTGAACTTGATCTTAATTTTCAGTCAACCGTGTTCAAGCAGGGAAATTACTGAGGAAGTAAACTTAACCCAAAGTACTGTTCGAGGTATTTTAAAAAGAAATGGATATCGGTGCTATATTTAATTTAAACCACTTAAGAACTTTTTCCTGAGGACAATATTAAACAATTTTTTTTAAAAGCATTTTATTTACTGACAAATCGACATTTTCTCTTCACAGGAAACACAATCCACTTATTGTTGAATATTGGTCTCGGGAAAATAAGTATCTAAGTATTCCTGTGCATACACAATACCCACGAAAACATAATGTTTGCTCGGGGATTTTGAGTGATTATGTAATAGGCTCCTTTTTTATTAAGGTAACCTCAACGGTACTAAATATCTCGCCCTAAGCCATGATTTTAACGTGAAAAACAAACCCAACTCTACATCCACTTATAGATCCTTATCTTATTTAGGACCAATTTCAGAAAAAATATCAAGAGTACTTTGTAATACAATCAGTAACTTAAACATTTCTTTTAAAATCAAACACAACATTAAGTCCATTTTTAGCAAAACTAAGGACAAAACTTATGGACTAAACAAAAGTGGTATTTTCAAATTGTCTTGCGATGATAGTAACATGACTTATATGGGTAGAACAATGAGAATCTTGGCTCAAAGAATCAAAGCTCAAATATCTGCCCTGCGATATTAAACTGAGATTGAAACTTGTAACGGTGTAAATGATTTAAATAATTCGAAATGTGGGTGTATTGTTATGATTTTAAATGTTATGGCATATAGAACTGTAAATATTTTATGACTAATTCTTTTTTATTGATTCTCGTAATTTGTAGGTCAAAATCTACCTGAGCTTCGATACCAGTTGTTTACAGAAATATCTAGACCCTAATTTTAGTGAGTCATCCACGACTCGAAGTTGAAAAAGAACTAGTCTCAGCGGTTAATTGCCTTCACCGAAAAAACCAGTATATTCCATGGGGTTCTTTGCAAAAGTAGGTCACCGAACTTTCCAGATAGCGGAAGTTTCTTTATATATAAAGACGAAATTTTATTGAGGAACTTAGTCATAAGAAGATCGGGAAACGCGATTTACTTGTAACGAAACGTAACAAATAAATTTGTATTTAATAAGCTATTTAATAAATTAGTAATTAGTTATCGTGAGTTTTAATAAATTAGAATATAGACAATAAATTAGAATAAAGACAAATAAATTAGAACAATAAAAAGACATAACAGTATCCATGAATTTTCAAATACATTTAAACATTTCTAACGAATAACATATTAAATACAGAGAAACAACTGTTGAGAGTTCCAAATCTTACATATGGAAAGGGAGGGGGCGCATAATCGTATGCAATTGACTGAAGCCTAAACCGGCACCAGAAAGGTTGCCAGGTCATAGTTTGTTTCTTCAGTAGATTGAGAATAATGGATACACATATATCAATAAACAGATTTTTTTCAAAATATATAATTGAACACTGACATAGTGATCACTTTTTGAACATGATTTGATCATTACATATTTTTTAGTAGATCGATATAGTGTTTCGGTAAATCGGTAAATCGAAGTTAAAATCAGTAGATCTACTGAAAAATCAGCAGACCTGGTAACCCTGTGAGAGGAAGTAATGGGTAACGTACAGGCACCAAAACATAGTGGTTACATTGAAACTGGGTTTCACTTTTCGAAGGTTTATTAAATGAGTGTTACCTGTCCTCTCACTTTCCTTGTCTAAGAGTAAAATAGAGGGAAAACATGGCATTCGAAGAAAAATTATCCTTGTCAAAAATTAGAAATTGAACAAGACTTGGGTTTGAAGAACTGATCCTTGGTAATTAACACTCACGGATACACCAAAGAATTAAATCGATTAGTAATTGTAAAACATGTAATACTTTAGCTCCAAACTAGCACTTTTGAGATATGTATTTGTCTTCTCTGGTTAGTGAAGATGGACACAGAAGAAAATAAGTCCAAATTTGAGCTGCTAAAAATTTAGTAAATACTTAGGACACACTTAAGAACACTAGGAAAATAGAAAATAAAGAGAAAGGTGGAAATATACAAATGTACTTACTTAATTGGAGATGGAGGCAAAACTTTTACTTGAGGCTCCGGCTGCACAACGGCAGTTGAAGGTGGAGGCGCTGTTGGTATCAGCGGAGCATCACTATCTGGGTATGCTATATCATCTAAGCTTTCGGGAATTTTTGCTACAACAACTTGTTGTGGAACAGTTGGTGTAATAATAGGCAATTTAGGTGTTGGACGCAATGCGACTTTGGCTTGTTCCTCTTTCCTTTTTCGTTCCAACTCTTTCTAAAATATTATTATTGTTTTAAGATTGGTACATATATTAGAAGATTTTGTAATAATATTTAACAATTGAAACACAATCAATAACCATTTTGCTTCAGCGGCATTAGTCTTTTCTCCAGCTTTTTAAACTGTACTCAGGTGCATAAAAATGTTAACAAATTTTGACTTAAATGAATTTTTTCTTAATACGTTCATTGCCAAGTGTATATTTCAGAAGACATTACAAAGTAAACACAAAATACAAAGTAAAACTAGGTTATAACATAAACGTTCTTGAATAGAAACATTAATGACAACATTTGGTCCTGTTTATCTATCCCCGACATAAAATTATTATATTGTACTATTGACTGAGATTTCATTTCAGTTCGGCCCCTTCGATCTGTCATTTCAACTATTTCATTGTCATATTGTGATGAAGTATAGCACACGACTCTCTTATTTCTCCATTTCCCTATAATTATATTATTTGTACATTTTGCGATAGTATCTTCCACCCTGAGCTTGCACTCTGTTACATATTTGGGAGAATTCTTTCTACCAACACGCAGAGTACCGATACAATAAGTTCCATTACCGAGTAATGTTTTAGCAAGCCAAAACTGTTGTAGAAAATGTCAATGTATACAGGATGTCCCAAATTTAGTTTTAAACTCAATAACTTCATCACAACCTTATCAGTGTGTCTCTTTCCATAACATAACATATATAACTTTATGGCAAACTTGTTCCTTTTATTTTTGATATATTGGCGGAATACTAACCTTCCTCGCCATAGAATCATCGATTCGTCCAGACTTAGTTCACGACCAGGATAATAAATTTCGTCCATCCTTTCATTGAAAAACGTAATTAGGGGACGAACTTTGTAAAGCCTATCAACAGATTTCTTTTCATTTACTTTTGGGTTTCTTGCGAAGTGAAGGCATCTTTAAATCAGTAAAAATCTATTTCTACTCAAATTTTCGAAAATGACGACAAATTTAACAAATCGCCTTGTTTCCAGTAATCCACCACACAGTTGAGTCTAATTGTTCCCATAAAACAAGTCGAATGAAAACTAAAAATTCTTCATTTCTCAGATGTTTCCACTCCGCTATTCTAGATTTTTTATTTTAGGGCCTAGAAAAATTTCTATGGTATATTAAATTATTTCAGACACTATGTCGTCAATGAATTTGTCCATCAAAAAATGTATGAAGTAATCAATTCGCTGGTTACCAGGAACAGGAATAAGCATTTTTTCCCGTTTAACAAACGGAAAGAATTGGCAATGTCACTTGCTCATCAATCTCGGATTCATCACTTTCACTTCCTCTAACAAAATCACTATCATCATCGGAATCGTACATGTAATCATCAGAAGAACACTAGTTTTCTAAGTAATAAAGTAATTCTGTTTCGGTCAGAGGATTTCTTGACAATTTCCCTCTTTTAGGTTTATACGAAAAAACAACACAGTCATCCATATTCATATCACACGTTACAGCACTGTAACAAAAAAAAATCATCGGAACCAACACAATTATAGGCAAAAGCAAAGCCTTAAGTATGTGCCAGCAGCTTGAAAAGCTCTTAATATTGTGTAAAGAACATATTGTCAAAATAAACATATTTTTAACTAGAATTGTGGTTAATTCTCATTAAAGATAGTAAATAATTCCAGATGTTATGATCATCTTCTGATAGACATTCCTGGCGTACTGTAGAACAGTTTAAGTTGTGTTAATCTATTATCATCATCATAAGTGGCTCGACAATCTTGGCCTGCTCACAAAGAAGTCGCCACTTCTGCCGATTCCTAGCAACTTCCCCCCATCTTCTGACCCTTAGAATCTATATGTCTTCTTTCACATCATCAATCAATCATCTCTGTTTTCGTCTTCTGCTTCTTGTTTTGTCTAGTTTAGAAAATATTAATCTCTTCGTGTATTCGTGATCTGACATCCTAGCAATGTGTCCAGCCCATCTAAGTCTCTGCACTTTAACGAATTTCACAATATCTGGATCGGTGTATAACTGATACAGTTCAAAGTTGTATCTTCGACTCCATAGCCATTTTCATTTACAGCCCCAAAAATATTTTTAAGAATTTTTCCCTCAAAAATACCAAGCAGTCTTTCATCATTTTGAGATAACGTCCACGTTTCAGCCCCATATATCAAAACCGGTCTTATTAAGATCTTGTATATATTAAGCTTTACTGCACGTTTTAATTTTTATTTTTTAAATGTTTCTAGAGACCGTGAACAATTCTGTTTGCTATTGCTATGCGATCCACGATATGTGAATTCTTTGACTTTCTTAAAGGCATGGTTGTTAATTTGAATTCTTTGTTGGATATTTCGAGGGTTTTTAGAAACTAACATATATTTGGTTTTCTCCTCATTTACCACAAGTTCTACTTCGCTTGCCGCGTCCGCAAGCCTTATAAATCACTGCACAATGTCTCTCATACTTCTGCCTACTATAACTATATCGTCAGCGAATGCGAGAATTTGCGCTGATCACTTAAAAATAGTTCCATTAAAGAGGAGACACGTCAGCGCGTCCCCCTGTGCAATGTCTAATATTAATCTATTATATTCATTTTTATTTGATTGTTACTTCTGTGCCATACGAGGCTTTCTCACTTTTTTTTGTGCAAAATGTGTTTTATTTATATGTTTTTAAATTTGGACTTAATTGAAAATCTAAATGATGTGGCTTAATATGGAACATCTATCTTTTTACTTGTCTAAAAATTATCAAATTTGGGACAAAAATAATAAAAAAGATATTTATGATCTACATATTTCAATAGTATATCTAAAATAAAAGCCACCATGTAGCAATTTTAAAATGAATTCAATAAAAGTAATATTTATCAAATTATGATTGTTATGAAACTCGTTAAAATATCTGTTAATTATAGGAATAGAAAAATAAGCTGTTGGTCTTTAAAAAATTAGTTTATATTCAGGAGCATAAAAATCATAAAAAAACCTATTGACCTCTACTGATAACTATCTGTGGATATTAAACTACCAACTGATATTAAAGCAGTTATTGGTTCATTATACCAAATTATACCATATACCAAATAAATTACATTTAAAATACGAAAAAGACCTAATAAAAAGACCTCCTACGATGGAGGAGAAGACCGAGGAAGTACAGACCACTAAAAGAAAAGGAAGGAAAAGAAAACAACCTATGCTTCCACCTGAGATAAAAAATAATACCAAGTTGCGAAAATATTGGCGTAAGAGGTTCAGTTTGTTCAGCAAGTTCGATATGGGAATTAAACTAGACGAAGAGAGTTGGTATTCCGTAACGCCCGAAATAGTTGCGAAACGCACTGCTGAGCGATGCCAGTGTGATATAATCATCGATGCCTTTTGCGGAACCGGAGGTAACGCTATTCAATTCGCGTTAAAATGTAAAAAAGTAAAGACCTAATAAGCCTTAAAACTCTTGGAGATGTGCAGATTAATATAATAACATGGACAGACAACTTCAGCATTATGAGAAAACCAAAGATAGCTTCTAGGTTGCATTGCCAAACTTTAAAGGTTCAGTTGAACACCAGAATATCAAAAGTAGATTGAATGCTGTCATTGCATAATTATTTAGAATGATATGAGCTGACTAAGATTCAGAAATAGGATACTTAAAACTGTTTTGATTATATAAAAAGTACCTACTGTTAAATATTGTTAAATCAGAAAATAATCACATATATAAGTTGTAGATCAAGTTCCGTATTTAATTTTGAAGTTGGTTTAAACAAAAAGATCTTAAGCAGGAAAGGATTACTCTTTAAACAAATTTTACTGTGAGACAGCTACTAGAGATAGCGGGAATAGAGCCCTTTATGCCGACCTGTATAGTTCAGGGTAGGAATTCATGTGGGAGGCCTTGTATCCAGGACTCCCACAAGACAAGCACTTTGCTAATAAGAGAGCCTCTATAGCGCATCAGAGCGCTATCAGGGGGAAAGTGGCTGGTCTGAAGCATTGGAGTGGAGCGGAGTGATTCCGGATTACAAGAGTTAATCCTCCTCGCTTCAATGAATTGTATCACCCTAATGTCATACTTAAGGGGTGTGTAGGTCTCTCAGGCTGGGTTAAACTATTGCTTGCATATGACAGATTTGACAGACAAGTTTTGAAATGGAGTACAAGTGGACTGGAACCGTGAGTTGTCTTTACAGGATCGTAAAATATTTGGCATTTAAATGGATTATCTTAAGTATTTATACAATATTAAATACGATATAAGTGGTCTACAGGACACACTATATACCAAACAGCTGGTCAGATGATAGTGATAATGGATTGTTCAAAAACATTTCAAAAGGAAGCAGGTTGTTTATCATATACAGTGGTGGGCAAATACTTTTCATATCGAATCCCCTTTATATTTTTACATCAGTTGCCAAGTGGGAGACTACTATTACAATGACATGAATGCAGAAAATCACAAATAATGGTAAAAAGAACAGTTAATTCCAATTTGCCTGTAGGATTTATTGTTGTCAGTGGCAATACTCCATACCATAATGTACAAATTAATAGAGCACTCACCATTCCCAAGTGTTAGATCAATGTTAAAACCACAACTGTATGAAATCATCAAATGATATAAATTTGACAAGTTACAAAAATGTGGTCATGTTTCCTTAAAACCTCTAAAATCTTAAAACCCAAAAACATGTTAGCATGTGAAACAATTTGTGTTGACAGAGAAGGTGGCCCTTAAAACCTAAAAACAGATAAAGAATTGTAGAGAAGTCAATTTGACTACCAAGTGTCATCTCAAGAAATGTTATTTTAGATAGAAAGATAATAAATGTGTCAACTTGTGTTCAAATTTGCATGGTACTGAAGTCACAAACATTCAGACAAAACAAACGGATGGACTTAAATAAATGTATCATGTTCAACAGTTGTAGCTGATTATAATCAGTACATGGGAGGAGTAGATTTTACTGATCAACTACATGGGTCATATGGATTCAATCATAGATCCAAAAAATGGTGGAACAGATAATTCTTTGGATTTCTTGACATTTCTTTTGTCAACACTTTTATTTTATACTCTCAATCTGAAGAAGAAGCGATGACACTTTTAGATTTTAGATGATCGGTAGCTTTTGAGCTCATCACTAAATTGAACAACAATGTGATAAACAACAAATGACAAAGAAGTAGCAACAATCACATCCAAGTTTCAAAACACAGGATATGCCTATAGTGTGCCGAAGGATATAAGGTTAGGGAACAGAGTTCATTGAATTCAGTATTATATTGAATATGAAAGATGTGAAATGTGCTGTTCTCAGGCAATACAGTCTTGGTTACATTTAAAATTTATTACTTGCAATGTTTGTTTGTTCAAATGAAATGAAAAATTGTTTTAATGAATATCATGACATTATGTAAATAAATATTTGTAGCAACACCTCTTACTACCAATTTTTTTTTGTAATATCCCTAAGTTCCGAAGGTACTTTACAGTACCACTACCCCCATATGAGATAAGTGGGAGCAAATATTTTTGACTCTAGTTATATATGTTTAGAAACATCAGTTTACATACAAATTTTAAATAAGTTTATTCTTTAAAAAAACTATGTTTGGGACACAACGGGTTAAGCAGTAATTTAAAGGCTTTAGTTAGTACTTCTTTTGTTTGTTATAATTCTGTAAAGTATTTACCCTTGTTTAGATTTTACCTTCATGTTGTGTGCCCCACCTATGTGGATGGCACCATTTGGCATTATCTGCATATTGCATACTATCAAAAAGTTCATGCCATAGTGGTTGATTCTGAAATAAGTTCTGCAGTGAAAGTGTTAAGCATTTCTTATTTTTATTATTTTCCATTATTTGTCCACTTAAGTATATACCTGCATTTTTATTTAGTGGTATTTTATGTATCTGTAACATTTTTGCTAATCACTATAAAGTCTTTACACTTTATGTCTCCTTTTTCTACTACTGTTATTCTTTTATTCAAGAGCATTACCAATAATTTTAATATTGTACTAAAACTGTTTTGTCTGTGAAAATAAAATTTTATAACCTCTAATGCAAACAATACAACATAATTAGAAATACTCTATGCTGCATTGAGCATTTTGGTTATTACATCAAAACAATGGTTGAAAATATTCCTCTACTCATAATTTGAAACATATTTTGTGAGTATCTTGTCATGATATATCATTAAGGTAACACGAAGCTGATGAAATATTATTCCGTTTATATTTTTAAGTTAATACCAATATTGTATTAGCAAACCACATATTAATCAAATTATATTATAAAACCTCACAGATATTTTCACAAAAAATATGACCATAATTTTTATTGTCTCATATGCTATTTTACTAATATTCTACAGTTAAAATGCATATTATGAAATATAGTTAAAGGTACTGGTTGATATTAAGGAGAACAAGAATTGAGAATTAATTTTAGGAGTTATCTAAATGTTGGAAAAAATAATTACCACAATGACTAAATTCACCAATAAATGTACTGATTTACCAGCTTATGATAAAATTAAAAGTCTATATGTCTGAAATGAAGATACATTGTATAGACAATGATTTCCTAGATCAGCAAACATGCTTAAAATTGAATGGTTTCAATCAAGTAAAACCGATATTCAAAAGTCAACTCTCCCAGTAGGTAGTAATCAAAATTAATTAGTAGTTCAAAAATAATAAATTGCTTAAAACTTGATAAAATTCAAACTTACCCTTTCCTGTAGACATCTCTGATAGTCAGTAGTATATTGTTCCAATAATAACGATTTTAGTTTTTCAGCCTTCGGTAATATTTCCCTTAAGGTTGCTTGGTTTTTGGCTTTAATATCAACTGCCACAGAAGCAAATCCCGGATGCTTTCTAATCTTTTCAAGGAAAAGAGTCATAAACTTCAGATACAGGACATAAGCATTTTCCAAGCTACCTTCTTTGTAATATACATTAGCCATTCTTACCATTTCCTGACCTGAACGATAGTACCTATATACAAAATATAAATTTACCTTTTTAGAAAACAAGAGGTATAATCCTACCTTATAGGTGGAACATTGGGATCAGCTTCTACTTGGTTGATGTAGTCTATTAGCTGTTTCAAGCGAATTTGAGGTTCTAACGTGTCTAAAATATGATCATTCGTTTTTTTGTTGGCCATTTTTTTTATATATATTAAATGTTTTAAACCAGTCAGTAACTACATAGAAAAAATTAAGCTTGTCTGACTCATATTTGTTTTGACTTTTAATTATTTGATTTAAGGTTAGGTAACATTAAATAGACATACTTGTCTATGCTTTGACTGTTGACGACTGACATGCGACTGACGTAGTTACGTTACGGAACTAAAAGTATTATTTAAACGAAAGGGGATGAATGCCCAAATATTAGTAAAAGAATTTTATTTGGATCTTTAGAATATAAACGCGGATTTATAATCTAGTTTTGGAATGGTACAAAAATATATTCGATAAATGCTTACCTCTGTCTAATTTTGTAAAACGATTAGCGAATTTTTTCAAATTTTATTGAAAACAAAAAAACAAATCTAACTTACCATTCAAAATTCATGATATTTGATGATAATAGTGGATACATTTTGACCATTTTAGAGCTTTCTAACTGTTAATACCGATTCATCGCCTCTATTCTATGTAGGTAAGTTTGGTTTTCTTCCAGTATGTTCCAGTATGCAGGAGTTCCTTCTTCCCTTTCCTTTCTTGTATCATCATTAAATTTATCTCCTGTAATGCTATTATTTCCTCTGCTTTTTCTTAGTCTAAGTTTGGCTCCTTTAACTGTAAAATGCCTGTTTCTTTCATTAGATCTCTTCTGAGTCCTAGTTAAAATTGGTTAAGTAATAGTTCTTTGTTTTTCTTCTTAATACCTGGTTGTTCTTCGGTTGTTGCTCCTTCTAAATCTTCTTCTAAAACTCTGGCTGCTAGTATTCGTAGTCTTGTAGTAAAATCCGATACGCTCTCGTCGTGTCTTTGGAAGCAATTTGAAAGCATCATCGTCCTCTCTCCTGGCAATTTTTTTGGTGCAAATTTTTGGATTAGTTTCGCTTTTAATGTTCGGTCTGATTTGAAAAATTGGTACGCCGGTCCTGTTAATTTTAATTTTAATATTTGTAAGGTATCCTTTTCTTTCCATTTATCTAATTGTGGGCGCTGTTCTAGTTTCTCGAAGTATCGAATGGTATCCTTTGTATTGAAATCTTCTAGAGTAGCCGCGACAACTCCTAGGGGTTGCGGTGGCCATGATATCGTTACTGGGGTAATAGGCGTTGCTTGAGGCATGTTTAATTTTTTTTATATGTTTATTACAGTATGATATGGTAATTTACGAAGTTAAAAAACAAATATGTAGAGAACAAAATTGTTGTTAAATAAATAAAATTAGAAATACACGCTCAGTAAAATTGACTGGTCAATTAAGCTGTTGGTAAATTTTTTTTTTGAAAAATTATGTAAATTGTCCTTCCTTTATCTTATAAAAGCAATGTATAAGCGATTATACCTACCGTTTTATGGCTTGATGGAAACCTGATGGAAATTTTCTAGACTGATTTATTTGCTTATTCAACGAAAAATTATGCACACAAAAAGGAATTATTCACTATATATTTTACTCTATTGCTGTATAAGAAAAAAAATGGGAATGTTACTGGCGAAACAAAATTTCAACGATGGAAGAAATTCTTATAAATATAGAAACTTGTAAAAGTTTACAAAAAAAACGGAAGAAGTGACTTAATCAGGTTCAGGAGGGTAGGGAGATCTGGAAAAAGAGGTTAAGGACTTCTAGGTCTCAGGTCCTGTAAAGAGTTGAGTCTATGGGCTTACTTTAGAAGTCTGAGAAATGCATAAGCGGAATTTGTGTACTCTTCTAGTCTCTGCCTATAACGGCAGGGAAGGAACAAAAAAACCAAATTTCGAGTCTAAAAATCTGCAATTCTACAAATGTATTAGTATACTGAATAGTACAATTAAATTAACAAGCTGTCAGTTATAACCAATAAAGATTCGTTCAGGCGCGAAGGGAGAAGAGACCTTAGCAAGAAATTAAAGGGTGGACAATCTACGTTTTCATATATTACTTGGGTTAGTATATAGATTTAGTTACCTTTGCGTATTTAGGCCCTAGCTAATGAATACGCCCTTCAGTCCTTCTGGTATTCAGGTTCTTCTGGTGTTCTTTATTTTCTTGCTATGTTTACATTACAGTAGCTTCCAAATATAAGAGTGTCTCAAATTAGGACCCCGAGTAAAATTTTTATTTATTTTTTTGTTTTTAGGCGCCGCCAAAAATTAAAAAATGGAACGCAAATGATATAATACAGTAAATACAGTAAGAAATAAAGAGATGGTAGATTTCAAATATTTGAAAGTCTCAAAAGTTTTTGGAATACCAAAAGGTACCTTAGAACGATATGTGAAATCACACAAGACTCCAGAAGAACTCGCTGGGATTTCAAAAATAAGTTTCGGGCTAAGAGCGCGTGATATAAAACGGCTTGCCTTTTAACTTGCAATACGAAATCGTTTACTGCTGAAAATGTATCCAAGTTCTTTGACCTGTGTGAACCAGAATATCAAAACCTAACTAACTCTGTACAACGTATATTGAATGTGCACAGAGCGACGATGGAAATATCTTGCAATGGTTTCCGAAAAACTGGACTGGTCTCCATTTTTTTTAATTGCCATATTGCCAGAATCTGACAGGCAACGGTGGGGGAAATCTTTTTTGGGCCTCTACGTCACGGAACAAGACACCCTGGTATCTTTTGGCCGAGTGGGATACTAAGCCAGAAGACACCAGGGTAGTGCCGGATTAACCGTGTTCCGGCTAAAACCTTAACCACCGTTCCAGAGAGGTGGTCTTGCCACTCAATAAACAACTAAACATTTATACATAACCATACCTATTACCGTAAATCAGAAAATATTAGACCATAAATGAATAAACAATATTAACTATAAATTTTAGATCCTTGGCTTAATTTCCTCTTCTGTCCTCCTGTTCTTTTTTCTTCATCACCCCAGAAATCAGACAGTGTACTTCTCTCCATTCTTTCTATCCTCTCAACATAATGTTTACAATATTTCTTTCATCCAGCCCGAAACCCATTCGCCTCTCGAAATCTCCCATCTCATTTACCCATCTCTGGCAGTTAAAAATGTGAGCGGGAGCATCCGGTACCGCACAAACAGTACAGTCTGCCGAGGCAGATTTGCCTATTCTATTTGTGAAGGTGCCAAAACTACCATGTCCGGTCAGAAACTGCGTCAGGAAGTAGTCTAGTTTCCTGAACTTACATTTCCACCACGGTCTCAGATCGGGAATAAGCTCCTTCGTCCACCTTGCCTTTCCACTATCATTCGCCCATTCTATCTGCCACTCTACTATCGTTCTTTCTCTTTCATTCTCATGTATATTTACATATATCCTCCTCGCATACATCCTCGCTCGCTCTTTACACAACAAAGCAATCGGTATCACAGATCCAATGACATATAGAGCCTCATTAGAGACTGTTATATATGCATTAGACACCCTGAGGAGCATTCGCCTTTGCGAAGTCTTCATCAGCTTGGCGTATTTCGCAGTGTTTAGTACACTACACCACACAGGGGCAGCGTAGGTTACTACCGACTGGAAAACTCCATTTAGCATCTTTCTTTTGGTGCTTCCTAGGCCTCCAATGTTTGGCATCAACCGTATCAACGCTTTCAGATTTCGGTTTGCCTTCTCTACTTGCTTTTGGATGTGTACTCCGAACCTTAGACCGACAACCAGACTCCCAGATATTTAATGATTTAACCGGTGCAACGAAGAGAGGATCTTTCCAGAGTCCCTTTAAGAACTAACACCTCAGTTTTCTGAGGCGCTACCTGTAGATCGTTCTCTCTAATCCACCTACTAATGCGACGCAAGGCTGTATTAGCCGCATTAGTCATGTCCGTTTTCTGACTCGCCTTCACAACCAGTGCGAGATTATCATCATAAGCTACAAGAGTGCATCTTCTTGGCATCTGTAACCTCAACACCCCGTCGTACAGGACATTCTACAGGATGGGACCTAAAACTGAACCCTGTGGAACACCCTGCGACAAACTGGTGCTGGTATTTTTTTCTCTTATGGACCTGTCAGTAAAGTATCTATCAATTCCGTTAACCAGGTATTCACTAACGCCCATTTCTGTAAGCCTGGACATGATTTTTTCCCATGATGCCGTATTAAAGGCATTCTTGACATCGAGCAGGATGAGAGTCACCCATCTTTTTGTATCCTGCGTAACTAAAGAGGTTACTTCTATGACCGCATCTATGGTGGACCTTTTGGCCCTAAAACCATATTGGCGATCGCTCAGCGCATGCTTTTCTTCTAGCTCTTGCTCAAGGCGGCCTTTTATAAGCTGTTCGTACAATTAACTAAGAAATCAAATTGGCCGAAATCGTACTGAAAAATCTGGTCTCAATTTGTCGCCGTATTTTTAGGGACTTTTAAATTTGCAATTCAGGAGCACTTGGAAGCACAAAACGAAATGGACAAACAAATAATGGAATCAATCCATGAACAACCAAATCATCCAATGCGAGAACATAGAACTAGTCTACAAATACCTCATACATAACTTGTTTCTCCGAAATACATCTATCCAATCCCTACATACAAGAGAGATACCACTAAAAAACCACATGCCAGATCAGGAAAGGCTTCAGTTCCTTCTCTTACACCCTACAAAGAAGAATTAGAGAAAATTTTACAAAAAAATATGTATATTAATAGATAATCAATCTAGACATAACTTTAAATTATTATAAACCATTACAGTGAGATATTGGATTGTAACTGTCACGTTTTGAAAAGGCATTTTTTCGCCCCGGATATTTTATAGTTTATAATTCGTAGAATAAAATATAATGTTAGTTTTTCACATTTTTTATCGTTCTTATAATACATATTAGATTAATCTTGGTAGTTTAGCTGTTACAAAACTTATTGGCACAAAATACAGGTCGTGTTCGGTAGGTAATTGAAGTATAAAATTACAGTAGATGCATTCCAATGTTCCTTGTGCCAATACTTTGGGTTTAAAGAACCTCCAAACATTTTGGATATTAACACAACCTTATGATCTCTGTTCATTTAATCTATTAGACATTAGATACGGTTTTTTGTTGTAAATGATAAAAATTTTATAAATTTTTGAACGTTATTTTTTTTATTTAGATTTAGTGCAATTCCGTTATCAGTAATGGCAACAACGAATTTATTCACGAGCCATTGTGTCCAGTCTGAACACAGGTTTACATGGGTTTACATTGGGAAAAAAAGGTGTACCAGTTTTATACGACGGGAAGTGTACATACTCTTTACATGTAATAAATTAACGCAGTGAAATTATAGACATTTATTGTAAATGGAATAAGTACAAAAATTACAATACGAATGAAGTTTATAATTTTATAAATAAAATATTACTGTGTTTTATCTTTAGATGTTAAGATCATTTTTAAAAGAAATATCAATATATATATATATATATATATATATATATATTATATATATATATATATATATATATATATATATATATATATTTACAAAGTTTCCAGTGGCTATATTAACTTTCTACAGATCATTAAAACAATATTAACTTTATAATAAATAATCAAAAAATGTATTGTAGTTATATCCAGTGCATATTGATTATAATAAAATTATATTTGTTGCCAAAATAATTAACCACTATATTATTTATATGGGGATAGGGCAACCCATTTCCTGCAGAGTTTTGGCATTTTTAACATTGTTAAGGGGCGTAAATATTTTTTCTTTATTATTACTAGACCTGTTGTATTTTTAAGGTGCCAAATCTTCGTAGTTTAAAACATAATTTTTGGCTATTTGGCATCAAATATTTAAGTAACATTTGCAAATAGTTTTTATATGATAAAATTTAGAAATTCTACTATAATATAAAATGCGCCTTTTAAATTCCTAGAAGCAATATTTTATTACAAAAACTATATTTAATAAAATCAGGTACGGAGTGCTATGTAAGAAAGACGAGTGGTTTTCTGGAATATATTGAGTCTTTTCCATCATCCAGTAGAAGCCATCCATTCTATTTTGCTTTTTAAGCTCTTCTCCAACTAAATGACGAACCTGCTCGTTGTATTGATTCAGCCATTTTATCTACAAAAAATCATTTATTTAGTTGATTTTATAAAGGTACAATATTTAGAGCCGAGACAAACTTATTTTGGTTTACTTTTTGTAATACTTCCTAGAGCTATTCAATATTTTGCTTAAAACCTGTATATAAATGAATAAAATGTAAGATTAAGTAATAACGTGTATCCAATTATACAGTAGGTATATAAGATATGAATGATAGAATATATCAAAACAACATAAGCTTAAAACTATGTCAAGAAAAGGTAAAATAAACGAACCATTATGTTTTGTTAAACGTATATAATACGTTTGATTTGAAGGTGATTCTCTAGAAAAATCAAAAATACGTGCTTTGACGTGCAATTTTCGAGTGCAATCATAAACATAACTTTAATTCTTTCTCTCTCTTGCTCTCTTTCTCTCTATCTTTCTCCCCCCTCTCTCTCCCTCTTATGGTAAATATTATCTTGGGTAGTAAATAATATTGTTGTAACTAGTTGCCCATTTATTAATCACTGCTTTGTACAATATTTCACTATTATAAACTTAAATATATCAGTACTTAATTGACGCTGGCCATAGTGTCGGTATAATAATTAAGATCTCCGAGAATGATTGGTGTTGCTTTTAATAGCCTCGGCCTTGCTGACTCAGCGCTCTTGTTACTATTCGTGTCAAGTGTATTCCCTGACCTACACCACAAGTAAGTCGTGCAATTTTACTAGAGTGCTGACTGGCTGTTTTAATTAGAGTATGTTATATATGAATGACCTCGATTTAAATTACCGAATGTTTACATAAACAAATGTTACACGAGTATGAATTATAATATTATTTTATCTGTAATTCTGATATTTAAGGGTTGATATTACACCATCCCCTTTTGGGAAAAAAATTTCTCTTTTACAACTGTCTTATTCCTCTCTCTCCTTCTCTTCGGAAGAAGAGAAATTTTTCAACCTCAAGTAAGTACTGTTTACCTATGCTACTGTGTACATATATACATTATCTTAACTCTAAAATATATGTGGTAAAATAGTTTATTCATTTGTCCTTTCACTTTTCCCGCGATATCATTAATATTGTCTCATAAAATCTCCGCGTTCACTTGTGTCTACTAATTGTAAGCGTATAATCTATTTTTAATGACCTCCCTAATCTTTCCGTTATCTAGCCTAATTTTACAGTTAACATTATTTAATTCTGTTATGACAAAAGGACCTGCATAAAGACTATCAAACTTATTATTTTCTTCTCTTTTGAGCAGGACTAGATCTCCTATTTTAAAATGTTGAGGTGCTGCAGTTAGCTTGCTTGCATCTTGTCTTTCCTTTTTGTGTTTTAGTAAGAACGTTTTAGCTCTGTCGTGTGCGATTTGTAGTTTATATCGGACCTCATTGTAATAGGCATCTATGTTATAGCATGGTTGAATTTCCTGTGTGAGATCTTCTGGTAACTTTGCCTTTCGCCCATACAACAATTCAAAAGGTGTGTAACCGTGATATGCATTAGGGGTAGTATTGTAACAGTATGTGAACATTCTGCAACACATATCCCAATTTTCTTTGTTGTCGTCTATGAATGATCTTACGTATTCATTTAGTGTCCTATGTAGCTTCTCACAACTCCCTATTGACTGAGGGTGGTATGCTGTTGAAAAATTGTGTGTGATCTTTAGCATTTTAGTTAATTCATTCATTACTTCATTTTTGTATTCCGTGCCTTGATCCGTTCTAATCTGTTTCATGAGTCCGTATGTAGGTATGAAATTATCAAAAATTCCACGAGCTATCGTTTCAGCTTCTTTATTAGCTACTGGGATACTTACTGCGTATTTCGTCAGTTCGCAAATCATCGTGATACAGTATCGATTGCCTTCACTACTTTTAGGGAATGGACCTATCGTGTCTATATACACTATGTCCCATGGTTTTGACGAAGTGTCCGATATCACAAATTCTTCGACATGTGATCTTTTTGGTTTATTAATTTGGCATTTATGGCACTGTTTAATATATTTACGTACGTCCTTTTCCATGTTCTTCCATCTAAATCTTGCTTTTAGTTTCTTTACTAGTCTATTATTTCCCACATGACCTCCAAACATCGGGTGATTATGGTATTCTTCTATTATTCTTAGTTTTTCTTGTTCGTCCTCTATGACTTCTGGTACTTGACATATGTATATTTCTACATTTTTCAATATCTTATTTCCTTCGTTTATGAATTCTTCAATTGTGCACGAATTAAAAATAATATCATTTAAATATATTTTTACTTTACTTATTGCATTCTCTACCGCTAGCTGATCAAGCTGTACCAACAATTGACCTAAATCAAAGTGATTAAATCCTGTGGTCATGCTCTTGCTGCATTTGATTTTGTTTTTGACCCGAATGCTCAGTCTTGGTGAGACTCGGTTTGCTCCAAAAGACAAAATTGGTAGTCTATGCGCCTCCATGTTGTTTAGTACCTTTCTTACTGTTTGCTTGTGGGTTTTATGTTGTGATATAATTTCCTCTTCTATTTCCCTGTGCTTCGCACTTTCGGCTTTCTTCTTTGATTGAACTCTGGTTATAGCTAAAATATGTTTGTTGTCTATGTATAAGTCTTTCAATTGATTTGTTGATATTCTCGACAGACTGTCTGTGTAATTATTTTTCCCTGTTATATATTCTATCTCGAAATCGTATTCCTCTAAATCTAATCTGATTCTTGTGAGTTTTGAGGTAGGATCTCTCATTGAAAATAGGTGTGTTAGTGGTTTATGATCCGTTTTTATCAAAAATGTTGGTGCTCCGTATAAATAACATTTGAAATGGTTGATTCCCCAATGGATTGCAACTAATTTTTTAATTATTATAGGTTTGTTAAGCTCTCCTTTGTTGAAGCTGCGCGATGCGTAAGCTATTGGTAAATCTGTTCCCTCGTAGTTCTGACTTAGAATTGCTGAGCAACTTGCATTAGATGCGTCTGTTGTTAGTATGAATTGTTTGTTGAAGTCTGGGTATTTTAAAATAGGTGGTTTTATCAAAGATGATTTGAGTTTCTTAAATGATTCTTCACAATCTTGCGACCAAAAAAATTCTACTCCTTTTCTCGACAATCTGTTTATAGGTATGCATATCTCTGCAAAATTCGGAATAAAACGTCTATAGTAATTACAAAATGCTATGAATCTTTTGGCTTCTTCCGCATTCTTCGGTGTCGAGTAGTTCTCTATTGTCGAATATTTCGCTGTATCCGGCGATACTCCTTCCTGCGACAGATCATGTCCCAAATATGTAACTTCTTTTCTAAAAAATTGACATTTTGCTGGGTTTAGCTTCAAATTAAATTTCCGACATATCTCAAATGTCTTTTTTAAGTTATCTAAATGATGCTTTTCTGTTATTCCTATTACTACTATGTCGTCCATATACAGAAATGCTTTCTCCGGTGTTAAACCTGTAAATGCTATTGACATCATTCTCGAAAAGCTATTTGGGCTTATATTTAGTCCAAAAGGTAATCTGGTAAATTGAAATGCTCCTTTTTCCGTGCTAAAAGATGTGTATTTCCTTGATGACTGTTCTAGTGGTATCTGATGAAATCCTGACATTAAGTCTATTACTGAGAACCATTTTGCTCTACCTAGTTGGTCTAATATTGAGTCTATTCTTGGTAACGGAAATTTATCTGTGACTAGTTTCTTGTTTAGCTGTCTGAAATCTATACATAGTCTCCATGCTTTGTTTCCATCTATAGCTTTTTTCGGTACTAGTACGACTGGGCTGTTGTATTCTGATGTCGATGGCTCGACAATTCCTTGGTCTATTAATTGTTGTACTTGTCTATTCAATTCTTCTGTCTGCGAATGTGGTGTCCTATAATTCTTTATGTAAACTGGTGTGTGTTCTTTTACTCTCAATTTTTGTTCATAAAAGTTGTTGCATGTTAGCATATCATGTCTTAATGCAAATATATCTGCAAAATCTTCGCATAACGATACTAATTTATCTCGGGTGTATTCCGGTATATCTAGCTTTAATGTTTCCCGTAGTTCTTTCTTCCTGTCCTTGCTGTCGTTGATTAATCTGTATACTTTAAACAATTTCATGTCTGATGTTTTGATTGTACCCGTCTCTATCGTAGCAGTGTCGTAAGTCGTATTTAAAATTTTGATATATGGGTTATTCCTTGATATTATCGCTCTCGCTATGAATATTCCTGGTAGTATCTCCTGTTGTTCCACTAGTCTATCTGCCTTTAACTTTTGAAAATATTGAACTGTTCTGTAAACTTCACATCTGGGTGGTATTATAATTGTGCTATCGTCTACAGTATCCAAAATATTTGTACTGATGTAATAGTTTCTATCATTTTTGATATGTATTTTCAAATTTGCGTAATCTAATATGCATTGAAAATTTGTGATAAAATCTCTTCCAATTATTCCGTCTGTTGGTATAGGAAAGTTGTTTTCTACCAATTGAAAGGTATGTCCAAAAAGATTGCCACGTACGTCTAGCGTAGTTTCGATTTCTCCCATTGTTTGTAGTTCTCCTCGAGTTACTCCTGTTATTCTTGCTTTTGTTCGGTTTTACATATTCTCTCATAGAGTCTTGTGTACATTTAAGTATTGAAATATCTGCTCCTCTGTCTATAATAAATGTATTTACTTGTCCTAAGATTCCTGTTTTTATTTTTACGAAGTTTGTAAGGTTTAAGTCGAAATTGTAGATAAAATATTCTGATTCTGTCATCTGTTCATCCGTCTCAGATGAGAGTTGTTTGTTCAAAACCCCAACTGTGGGTTTTCTGATTCCTGCGGACTATCTTCTAGTTCTAATAATCGTATATGTCTGTTGAATCCTCTTGAATTTCCCCTCTGTGCCTGGTTATCAAATTTTCTGGACCCTTTTTGCTCATGTTGACGGTGGTCTCTTTTTCCATTGTTTTGTTGCGAGAAATTTGGTCTTCTCCACTGGTTATATCCATTATGATATCCTCTTTTGTGCTGGAATTTTCCTCTTTTG